GGTGCGGCCACAACTTAAGATGGTGAGCGGTGTAGCGAACAGCAAACAACCACAGAAAATGGGGTGCACCGGCATGGATCATGGAGGTACGAGCCACCTCCATGACCAAACCGATGCGTCACTAAGCGACCCCATTCTGCTGCGGGGAGTCCGGCAGGGTGAACGTTTGGGTGATGCCCTCCGCACGACAGAATCGACCAAGGCAGCCAGAGGCAAACTCGCCACCACGGTCGGAGTGAAGATGCAACACAGGGAGACCTTGGTGAACACGCGCAGAGCCAAGCCACGAGATTAGAACGTCAGGCACGACGGCCTTCCGCTCCAGGGGAAACACGGTGGTGAAGCACGTTTAGTCATCGACAAGCACTAGGAAGTAGCGCTCTCGACGCAGCCCATGGACGAGGGTGGGGCCAGTGACGTCCATGTGCAGGGTCTACAGTGGTGCGGCCGTGGGGGTGAATGAGGAGGAGTGAGGGGCATGGTGGAGCCGGCCCTCGACGCAGGGCGTGCACGGCGGTGCTGGTGAGGAGGGTAGCACAGGGAACGACTCAGGGAGACCTAAGACAATACTGTGCTGGGACATGTGACGGAGATGTGTGACGACAGGGTGACCTAGACGGTGGTGCCACAGAAGCATGGGGTGAGTAAGCGCCCGACACGAGCAAGCCGCAGCAACCTGGGAAGACATAGGCACATGGGGAGATGTTTCAACCGTGGGGGACGCGATGTCCAGCATGAACAGGCCAGAGACTGGGTCCCGGGGGAACATGGTGAAGGGAGCACCAGTGGCGGCCTTGGTCCAGACAGCGTACCGCTCGTGACCAGGGAACGTAGTGGTGACGCCAAGATCCTAGAGGCAGCCGACACCAACTAGGTTCCTAGAGAACGAGAGGATGTGCAGGCCTGTAAGAGAGCCCGAAGGAACCGCCAGACAGGGAAGGGTAATGGAGCTACGGGCGACTACAGGACATGAGGAAATGTCTGCAAGGCCAACTGCGGCAAGAGCGGCAAGCAGCGTAAGCATAGTGGAGTCCCGAAAGAAACACCGGGAAGTGCCGGAGTCCAGGGTGAAGGAGAGTACGGCAGTGGCAGTAGGGGTCGGAAGAGCGAGGGTGGAGCCAAGGCTAAACAAAGCAGGGGATCCTACGCCTGACGCAGCAGTGGAGCCTAAACTAGGCGCACCTACACTAGGCAACAAGGAGTAATAGAAACTAGTCACATTAGAGTCATCGACATACAGCACATACAAAGCAGAGCTAATCTCGCCCATGTCCATGTAAAAAATCCTAACACCACGGCGGAGAAGACTGTGCCAGTCGGGGAGGTCTGGCGCCGGCCCGAAGCGGGGACAAAACAGGTCGTCCAGGCGACTGAAACAACGAGTGGGGGTATGGCCGATCTTACCGCACACGAGGCCGCGGCGAGGATTGGTCTGGAGATGGTACTGGCAGCGCCCGTCACTCTGACCACCACCCGACGTCATGCTGCATGCACAACCACTACGACCACCTCCACCACCGGTGCCAGGCCACCCGGGCGGGACGACCGACCCGCTTCTGCTGCTGGTCCTGCTGCTGCTGATCCAGCTGCTGCACCTGCTGTTGCTGGGGCTGCTGCTTCGAGGCACCAGCCCCACCCCCCTCGTCAGTACTACTAGCAGGCCAACCACCTCCACCATCGCCTCTACCCCCTCCTCCGCTACCTACGCCGCGCCCTGCCTTGGGGCGGCGACCCTTACCCGTATGAAATTGCGCCGCGACAGCCGCGGTGACTGTCTCCACAGCAGGCGCTGTCTCAGCGACAGCAGCAGTACTGTCAGAGTAAGCACACAAAGCGGGGGCACAGCCCTAAAAGATAGTGACCGGCACAGTACCGCTAGACTTAGCGATAGAGCGTTGACGAGTCTCTATGGCACACAGGGTGTCGACGAAGTCAGTGAGGGTGAGGTCAGCGAGGTGGAGACTAAGAAAGTGATCGCGGGCGGAAGCAAGGCGGTCAGGGAGGCGGGTGGCAAGCAGGTAGAGGGTAGACGAGATGGGGGGTTGAAACACACGAAGCTGGGCCTCAGTGCAAGCAGCGCGCCAGGTCGCGTCTAGTGTGCGCAGGTGGGCGGCCATGTCAGCGTTAGTGGAGAAAGACGCGAGATCAGGAGAGAACATGGGCAGGATCAGGCGACCGATGGAGGCAGAGGGCGGGGTGGAATAGCGCGCGACAACAGCCTCTAGGAACTCCAGTGCAGTCCTGACTGACCTAAAGCGGGGGCGCTCAGACAGGGGGAGGGCATGACTAATCGCGAGCTGTGCGACAGCGTCACGCGACAACCAGACAGCAAATTCAAGGGCAGCAGCGGCCACGGACTCACAATCAGCAGACGTGGGGTCAGGGGGTAGAGCAGCAGGGGGGTCAGGGCAGGGGAGCGTAATGTCGATGCGGACAGCCAGGGAGTGGCCATCCTGCCGCTGACCAGTGAGGTGACGGTGGAGGTCGACGAGCCATGAGTCGAACTCAACCGGCTGACTCTCCGCCTCAAAGCGGAGCACCGCGTCCACCATCATGGTCGTTGCAGCAGCAGAAAGGCGGTAGTGGGTTGTACAGAGCGACAGAGTGCGGCGGAAGCAGTGGTGTGCGGTGCAGTGCGGTAGACTACGGTATAGTGAGGTGCAGTACGGTAGGGTGTGGTGCAGTGCGGTGCAGAGCGGTGCAGTGCGGTGCAGGGCGGTGGAGTGCAGTGCAGTGCGGTAGGAAGGGCCGATGAAGCGAGGTGGGAGGCGTAGGGGTATCTGAGGGACGGGGCCGAGAGGAGGCTAGGCGGCGAGTTCACGGGGTGGCTGGTGATCAGGGACCGTGTGGCGGGCAGGGGACCGGGCCGCGGGGCGGTCAGGCGACGGGGCTGCTGAGCGGCTAGGAGACAGGGCCGCGTGGCGGCTGGAAGACAGGGCTGTGTGGTAGCTAAGAGACGGGGCCGAGGGCGGCGAGGCGACGGGGCCGGCTAAGCGGCTAGGTGACGGGGTCGGCTGAGTGGCGGGGCCGGCTAAGCAAGGGGGGGGGGGGGGGGGGGGGGGGGGGGGGGGCTAGGCGACAGGAGTCGGCGAGGCGACGGGACTGGCTAGGCGACATGGCCGGCTGGGCAACGGGGCCGGCTAGGCGATGGGGCCGGCTAGGCGACGGGGCAAGCTGGGCGAAGGGGCCGGCTAGGCGACGGGGCCGGCTAGGCGACGGGGCCGGCTGGGCGACGGGGCCGACTAGGCAACGGGGCCGGCTGGGCGACGGGGCCGGATAGGTGACGGGGCCGGCGAGGCGACGGGACCGGCTAGGCGACAGGGCCGGCTAGGCGACGGGGCCGGCTAGGGGACGGGGCCAGCTAGGCGCTAGGTGACGGGGCCGCCTTCTTCTCTCCGTCTTCTTGTCTCCGCCCTCGTCTCTCCGCCTTTGTCTCTCCGCCTTCTTCTCTCCGCCATCTTCTCTCCCCCTTCTTCTCTCCGCCTTCATCTCTCCGCCTTCACTAGGGAACGGGCCAGCACGGGCGGGAGGGCGACGGGGCGGTTAGGACCTATGGCGGAAGCGCTGGTGGGCGGGGGGGACCTAACCTTCTCATGATACCATGTTAAAATTTAACGAATGACTAGAACCACGGCATACGAGGGAATATAGCCTAGTGGATTGTACTCTCTAAGGCACAACCCAGTGTAGTCTATAACAACATACAAGGATATGTTTGACATTCGGGGCCGAATACAGAGAGTACAGGGAAAAATCTTGGAGCATCCGCCCCATTGAAAACTCCTCAGAGTGATACATAGGCCAACTCTGATAAATAAGAGAAAACTTTTCTAATTTTTACCCAAGACCATCAGAGTGGTTTTCAAAAGCGACTTTTTAGAGAATCAGAGTGACTTATTCTGGTAAAATAAGCCCTGGTCGGGATTCATGCCCAGTCATCTCGTGTAGTATATCATGGCATATGGACTAAACATGGAGTATAATTAGTGCATAACATAAAGATGCTGCTGAAATTCACCTTATACCATAAAACTTGCTAGGCATGATACTGTTGAAATATCAGAAGTACTGGTATAGAAGGGAAAGTACACCCGCACTCAGTATTAGGGTCCCCGCTATTACGTACGGTCAAGGGAACGCTATAGACAATCAGAATTAGTGAGTTCGTCACACTGCTAGTCAGTCGGGTTCCACCGTTAGTCAGTGACTGCTGGTAAACATTTCTACGAATAGTCAATGGACGTAACCCCCGCCCATTTTGGGCAGTTTTCCCGCTCGCGGCAGCCCAACAACCAAACGACTGTAATAATTGCGGAAAGCGAGATTTTTTTCGCACCAGCCTGGCGCTGCACATTTCGCCCTCACTCCAACCCTCGGTACTGTACATTTCGCCCTCCTCCAATTCTTGGCACTGTATATTTCGCCCTCAATCCAATGCTCGGCACTGTACATTTCGCCATCGCTACAGTTCCCTACAATACCAAGCATTGGAGTGAGGGCGAAATGTACAGTACCAAGAATTGGAGGAGGGCGAAATGTACAGTACCGAGGGTTGGAGTGAGGGCGAAATGTGCAGCACCAGGTTGGCGCGAAAAAAATCTCGCCCCCCACAATTATTACAGTCGTTTGGTTGTTGGGCTGCCGTGAGCGGGAAAACTGCCCAAAATGGGCGGGGGTTACGTCCACTGACCATTCGTAGAAATGTTTACCAGCAGTCACTGACTAACCGTGGAACCCGACTGACTAGCCGTGTGACGAACTCACTAATTCTGATTGTCTATAGCGTTCCACTGACCGTACGTAATAGCGGGGACCCTAATACTGAGCGCGGATGTACTTTCCCGGTATAGAATCTAGTCCTTACCCATCGAAATGTGGTGGAGCTCGCCTCGAGATTGGATTGCGAACTATTTGCGAGCTCTGCTTTCCAGCCAATCTGCGGGGTTGCTCTCTCTTCGCATTGTTCGCAGTGGCTTCGCCAAGGTCCCCTCAATTCCCTCAATTCTTTCAAAACTCCCGCCAACAGGCAAGCATGACTGGCAGAGATATTCCCGCTGGCAGCTAGCGTGTCAGGTCCATCGGGAGTGTCGCGTCAGGCAAAACCAGATCACTTAAAAGACCGCATCGCTTTACGCGTGTGCTTGTTTGCGGTTTTTTGTAGATTTTTTTCGCCAGCACAATGAGCCGCTGATCGAGTGGAGTATGGTGCATTCTGTAGCGTGACGTCTCGTTCAGTCGGTTCAATCGTTGCCGCGTTGAGCCGCCATGGAGAGGCAGCATATAGATCAGGATCTCACCATGCGGCGTATGGAGGCAGCGCTGTTCGGCAACTTGGAAATATTAGGTTTTCACAGGGACCGCGTAGCAGTTAATATTCGCCTGACTCCCAATATGTTTCAAATCTCTAACCTCAACGCCGGCAACGTTATACTACACTTCCTGCTCACGCGATTACTTCCTGTATGCCTCCTCACTCCAAAAGTCCTCTTCTTGTAACGATTCTCGCAAACCCATTATCTGTCGCACCAATCTATGTGTTCTTCCAGTGATTCTTCTCGGTCACCAGATCCCAGCCGTTAATTTGAATCTATGCCGTGTGGCCCTGATCGTCTGCTTTCAGGCAAGCAGGATCACATGGATTTTCCCGCCAAAGAAGACATGCCTGTCGCAAATGCGCAAGGTACGTCGGGGGGAGCCAGGTGACATGGCTATGGCCATCCGATTTTGAGTCGACTCAAAAGCACACCTGACGCAAATGCGCAAGGTACGTCGGGGCGAGCCTGGTGACGTGGCCATGACCACCCGGTTCGAGCGCAAGGTAGATTATACTAAATCAGACAGTGGCCTACAGGCATTGTAACACCAGACGACATTTTATTTCTCAACTTCATACCTCAATTTTACAAGGCTTACTTTCGCGTGTGCTTCTTTTTCGGGCTTCCCTCATGATGATGGCCCTTCTGTTGGGTTGTGGTTGTATGCTCAGACGGTGATAGAGGTGCTCCGGGAGCTGGAGGCGAAGGGATGCATCCCGCCCCATAGCGCGCGCAACACGACCATCACTGCTGCCACGGGCCCCAGGTGCGTGCGCCATGGGGGATGTGATGTGATGCCCATGGTAGGAGTCTAGTTTTGAGGCGCCTCAAAACCGGCAGCCGGAGGCGAAGGGATGCATCCTGCCCCATAGTGCGCGCAGCACGACCATCAATTCCTCTCACTCGTATGCCTCCCTGTTAGACCATATGTACGTGAATGTATGGTATCTGACCATTCTCATGGCAATTGAAGTTACCTAGCCATGCTCATGTGAATGCATCATCTCTCCCCGTGCTCATGTGAATGCATCATCTCTCCCCGTGCTCATGTGAATGCATCATCTCTCCCCGTGCTCATGTGAATGCATCATCTCTCCCCGTGCTCATGTGAATGCATCATCTCTCCCCATGCTCATGTGAATGCATCATCTGTCCCCGTGCTCATGTGAATGCATCATCTCTCCCCGTGCTCATGTGAATGCATCATCTCTCCCCGTGCTCATGTGAATGCATCATCTCTCCCCGTGCTCATGTGAATGCATCATCTCTCCCCATGCTCATGTGAATGCATCATCTCTCCCCATGCTCATGTGAATGCATCATCTCTCCCCGTGCTCATGTGAATTTATCATCTCTCCTCATACTCATGACGCATGTTGTAACGGGTCCATGATCACGCCATGCTCATTGAATCCGCCCCTCCCATTGCATTTCATCGGACCAGAGAGCCATGCGCCCATCCTTGGCAATAGTCCTATTCTTATCTCGTATCATAATTTGTAGCATCATACGCACCATTTCACATGTGCAACCACCCACCCACCCACTCACGCCTTGACTCGTGGCAGGATGGTGGAGCTCCTGTACTACCTCTCCTCCCACGCCCTGGCCGTGTTTCTCGCAAGGAAGGCGGGCGGCACGGGGGAGGAAGCACCTCCTGTGCACCGCCACGTCAGCACCAAGTCCGAGCTCGTAGCAATGCACCGAACGCACTTGGTGCGCGCTTTCTTCTGTCTCTCTCATCGATGGTTTTTTAGGCGCTTTAGAAAGGGCATCCAGTTTACTGCCACAGTAGTACCAGATTTGAGCTCAGTGCAAAGCACTGCACGCACTTAGAGCGTCCTTGTCCTTCGCTCCTCCTTGTCGCTTGCTTGCTCCTGTCTGGCACCCTGTTCCTTGTCTTTCACGCGCACTTGTCGCCCTGGACATGTGCACATGCCTGTGCCGGTGGGTGTGTGTGTGTGTGTGTGTGTGTGTGTGTGTGTGTGTGTGTGTGTGTGTGTGTGTGTGCAACGGTCTGTGCACGGCGCATCTCTCGTGCAAAGCAGGGCACCGTGGCGCGGTTGGCAGGCGAGCTGCACGCGAGGCAGCAGCAGCTGCTGGACTCACGCGACTGGCAGACGGAGCAGGCTGCCCAGCTGAAAAGAACCATCCGCAGCCTAGAGCTTCTCACTGTAAGACCCAGGAGCTACCCATGGTTAGGGTTGCAGGTTTGGGGTTGAGGATTTTGGGTGGTTTGGGGTTTCTGTAAACGCCTGAAGCTCCTCGCTGGAAGAGCCTGGATCTACCCAGGTTTAGGGTTGCGGGTTTGGGGTTGAATTGAAGGTTTTGGGTGGTTTGGGGTTTCTGTAAAGGCCTGGAGCTCCTCGCTGTAAGAGCTTGGAGCCACGCACTGTACGAGCATTGCGACGTGGTAGCTTTGAGAGCTTGCCACATGTCACCTCTGACAGCTTTCCAAGTGGGTAGTATTCTCTGTGTGCGTACGCACTAACTCTGTGAGATTCCATTCCCTGTCTGTCAGCCGTCCCGTCCGTGTGCATGTCCCATGTGAGCTTGGTGCGCTCCTTGGTCCTTATGTGCTGCACTTTTGAGTGCCGCGTGATAGATGACTCTTGAGTCGACTCGAAGGTCACCTCTGTGCATACGCACTTACTCTGTGAGATTCCTTTCTTAGTTTGTCATCCGTCCCGTCCGTGTGCATGCCCCATGTGAGCTTGGTGCGCTCCTAAGTCCCTATGTGCCGCACTTTGGGTGCCGCGTGATAGTCCTTTGGCTTTCTTCATAAGTGTCTTTCTCCCCCCCCTCTCTTGCCCCTCTTGCTGTGTCTTGCTCGCGCTCTCTTTCTCGCTCCTTCTCTCTTTCCCTCTCACGCACACACACATACACACACACACACACACACACACACACACACACACACACACACACACACACACACACACACACACATGCACGCATGCACACACACATGCACGCATGCGCACACACATGCACGCATGCACACACACATGCACGCATGCACACACACATGCACGCATGCACACACACATGGGGGCAGGCGTCAGGGTCAGCAGCGCGGCCAGCCATGCAAGATGGCACACGAGAGGCCCCATCCCCATCCCTATCCCCATCTTCATCAGCACTGGCATCAGCATCAGCAGCAGTGCCCGTGTTGGAGACAGAGGCTCTCAAGGCCGTGGACAGGCAACTGCGCCAGCTTTCTGCAGGCTTTGGTCAGTGCTGTGCTACTCACCTACCCCACGCCCATTGCTGCTCACCTGCCCCACACCCTCCCCATTGCTGCGCTACCCTTCTCCCTTTGCAACTCCACCGTTGCTCCCCCCCTCCTCCCCCACTCCTTGCTCCTTGCTGGCTCGTCTCCCTGTGCAGCGCCTGTTGCGATTGAAACGTTTCAAGCTGAAAACAGAATGAGCTTCTACCTGGAGTTGCTCTTTCGCTTGCTCTTGCTCTTGCTTGTGTGCCGTTGCACTTCCCTGCCTTCCCCTCCTTCTCTTCCTCCTGCAGCATATGCTTTGGAGTCCACTCAGAAGCTCTGCCCTGCCTTCCCTCCCTTCCTCCTCCTCCTCCTCCTCCTCCTCCTCCTCCTCCTCCTCCTCCTCCTCCTCCTCCTCCTCCTCCTCCTCCTCCTCCTCCTCCTCCTCCTCCTCCAACACATTCCACCTCCATCCTCTCCCTCCCTCTTCCCCCCGCCCCTCCATATCTCTCTGCGCTACCTCCCGTGTCCCTGTGCCTGTGCCTGTGCCGTTTTGTGCTGTGCCGTGCCGTGCTCTGCCGTGCTGTGCTGTGTTGCAGAGACCGACGTCCCCAAGTTAGCGGATCTCACTGCCCGATTCTTTGCACGCAACTCCAGGTGATTTGACCTCCCTCCCTCCCTCCCTTCATGCATGCACTGACGCATGTGCATGGATACCCCTCACGCTGCCCCTGGTTCTCTCCTTCTGCCAGCCCCTGCTGCTGCTGCTATGCAAGTTGCTGCTGCGGCTGTTGCCACGGGCACCATTGCCTGCCTTTTGATTTGCGCTGTAAGATGCCCAAGCATCACCTGCATGCTGCTACTGCCGCTACAGCTGCTGCTGCCGCTACAGCTGCTGCTGCCACGACCACCAGAGCTGTAACACCTGTGACCCCAACTTCACCTGCTCTGCTCGCCTCACCACCCTTGCCACTGCCACTGCCATTTCCTCTGCCAGCTCTGCTGTCTTCTCATTCACCATCGCCTCCATCATTAATCATTGCCTTCATCATTAATCATCGCCTCCATCATTAATCATTACTACTCTTCACACCTATCAGTTCTATGCATGCCTTTTCCCCCTCCCCTCCCTTTTCACCCCACTCCCCTTTTCCTCCCCCCCCCCTCCCTCTTCACCCCAGTCCCGCGCCCCCTCCCCCCTCTGTGCTCATTTTCACCTCGTCCCCTAGTACGCCCTGCACCTCCTCTCCGCCACCCCCCTATCCCTCCCATGCCTGCAGGGCCACGTGCCAAGGCCAGCAAGCGAACGGCGAGGCAGACTGGTGTGTTTCTGTCGACTCGTCCTGCTGCTCCTCCCCCCCACCCCCCTCTCCCCCACAACCCCCTCTCCCCCACATCCCCTGTCTCGCGCATTCCTGCAGGGCCACGCGCCAAGGCCAGCAAGCGAATGGCGAGGCAGGCTGGGAGTCAGGGCAGGAGCTTTGTGCTGCAAGCAGTGGGCGCGGTGGTGAGGGTGGTGCGGGTGGTGAGGGTGGTGAGGGTGGTGAGGCTTGTGTGGGTGGTGAGGGTGGGGCTGGAAGGGACTTTGTGCCTGAAGGAGCGGTATTGGGAGCGGCAGGGGCGGCTGGAGGGGCGGCAGCAGGAGAGGCGGCAGAAGGAGGGGAGGCAGCAGGCGCGGCAGGAGAGGGGGGAGGGTTGGGTGAGAGTAGTGGTGCTGGTGGTGCTTGTGGTGCTGGTGGTGCTGGTGGTGCTGGTGGTGGTGATGGTGGTGGAGGTGGTGGTGGTGAGCTGCTGCTGGTTCGGATGGATGCTGTTGGAACGCACACCGTGGCCCTTGCTGCCCTTCAACCCGCCTTTCAACAGCTGGTGAGTAGACTGTCTTTGAGGCTTCTGAGAATTCTCAGATTTCTTTCTTTGAGGCGCCTCAGAATCAGCCGGTGAGATAGCCCGCCCCTGACTCCCTCCCTTCACTCTCTATCCCCCCTTACTTTTTGTCTAGATCTCCCTCAAGGGGTCCATCTAATGATAGCCAAACGGCACAAGAAAGGTGAAATAGCAAAGGCAGCTATGTGTCCCCCCTTTATCCCTCCTCATCCCCCTTCATCCGCCCTCATCCTCCCTCCCTCTGTCTTCCCTCTCGCCCCCATCTCATTACAGGCGGACTCACTACAAGCAGCAGGCCCCTCGCATTTCTTCTTCCCCCCTCAAGATTGGGCGCCGGATTCGTCTTCTACACATGCTGCTTCTGCGGGGGGGGCGCCAGCAGCAGCAGCAGCAGCAGCAGGAGGGGGAGGGGGAGGAGGGAGAGTGGGGGAGTCGCATGTGGGGAGGTTGCGGGCAGTGGAGCATCAGCACATACAGCTGTCCCAGTCCCTCCAGGTGGGTGGAACGCTACCAAGGAGATAAGGCAAAGTTCGCCTTTGTGTCGACTCAAAGCAGAGAGTGGGGCACGTGGGCCATCAGCACACACAGCTGTCCCAGTCCCTTCAGGTGGGCTGCATGCAACTTGCAACGCAACCAACTCAAAAGCAGAGAGAGTGAGAGAGTTGCTTGTGGGGTTGCGAGCAGTGGCGTGTCAGCACATAGAGCTGTCCCACTCCCTCCAGGTGATTGCAACTTGCAACGCAACCAAGGAGAACAGGCATGGCTGGCTTTTGAGTTGACTCAAAAGCAGAGAGAGTGGGAGAGTTTGCTTGTGGGGTTGCGAGCTGTGGCACATCTGCACATACAGCTGTCCCAGTCCCTCAAGTGAAATATTGGTGGGCTGCGGAGGCCTCCTATCCATCCAACCTGCCGATTTGTACGACAGTACGAACCTCCAATGACTCTTCCCCCCCCCCTCGAACACCCCACCCCTCGAACACCCCCCAACCCCCCATCCCGTCCTAACACTCCCTGATATCATTTCACGAGGCGGAGGTGTCTGCCTTGCTTTTTGAGACGGCTCGAAACTCCCCCCCCAACTTGAACACCCCACTCCTCGAACACCCCCCTCCCCATCCCGTCTTGGCAGCCCCTGGTGTCATCGCCAGAGGCAGAGGTGTCTGCCTAGCTCCGCTCTGCTGTTGCGCCATTGTAACGAGCTGGCTTTTGAGTCCACTTAAAAGTTACCCCTGACTCCCACCCCCTTCCCCCCCCTCCGTGAAACCCCCACCCCCCCATCCCATTCTGGCAGCCCCTGGTGTCCTTGCCAGAGGCGGAGGTATCTGCCTCGCTGCGCTCTGCTGCTCACACGGACGCCCAGCTAGCGCTTGCCCTGCCCCCTATCGCCCTCCTTGCCCCTCACCCTCCACCCCCTGCCCCAATGCCCCAATTCCCCGCTTACCAGTCCCTGGTGTCATCGCCAGAGGCGGAGGTGTCTACCTCTCTCCGCTCTGCTGCTCACACGGATGCTCAGCTAGCTCTTGCCCTGCCACCCTGCCCCTCCCTCCACCCTCCTTGCCCTTCTTCCTCCCCCCCTCCTCTCCCCTCCCCCCAATGCGCTACTTACCAGTCCCTGGTATCAGGGCAGGAGGCGGAGATGTCTGCCTCGCTGCGCTCTGCTGCTCTCTCGGACGCTCAGCTCGCACTTGCCCTGCCCCTCCCCCCGCCCTCCGCCGTCAAGTCTCCCGCTGCTGTGAGTGGGGTTGTAGCCTTGTAAGGGGAAGGGGGGAGTGGGGCTTGTAGGGGAGTGGGGCTTGTAGGGGGAAGGGGGAGTGGGGCTTGTAGGGGGAAGGGGGAGTGGGGCTTGTAGGGGGAAGGGGGAGTGGGATTGTAGGGGGAAGGGGGAGTGGGATTGTAAGGGGGAAGGAAAATAGTGCTGATATGGGGAAGGGGAATGGAGCTTGTTGGGGAGAAAAGGGAATAGTGCTGGTAGGGGGAAGGGGAATGGGGGCCATAGATGGGCGTGCAAAGTGGGACACATAGGGGGAAATGGACTGCTGGAGATGGGGAAACGGGAGTGTGACTGCATTCATGTGGCATGCTAGCATGCTTTTTGCAACACATCCCCAACTCGTCTTGTCCAACCCATCTTGTCTGTCCAACCCATCTTGTCTGTCCAACCCATCTTGTCTGTCCAACCCATCTTGTCTGTCCAACCCATCTTGTCTGTCCAACCCATCTTGTCTGTCCAACCCATCTTGTCTGTCCAACCCATCTTGTCTGTCCAACCCATCTTGTCTGTCCAACCCATCTTGTCTGTCCAACCCATCTTGTCTGTCCAACCCATCTTGTCTGTCCAACCCATCTTGTCTGTCCAACCCATCTTGTCTGTCCAACCCATCTTGTCTGTCCAACCCATCTTGTCTGTCCAACCCATCTTGTCTGTCCAACCCATCTTGTCTCACCTTTTCCTGAAGCCAATTGGCGTATTTCTCGCTCCCCCTCCCTCTTCCCCCCCTCCTCCCCACCTCCCCCCCCCTCCTGCACCCCTTGCCTCCCAGCCCCTGAAAGCATGCCTGCACAGCTTGCCCTCCAGCTCCCCCTCCTTTGCCTTGCTCTAGGTGTATTCTCAAATTTCACTCTAAATCCTCTCCCCCCATCCACCCCCCCTTTTTCCCCTCGCCTTGCCTTGCCTTGCCCTTGCCTTGCCTCTCCCCTTTGCCTTGCCTTTTTGCCTTGCCTCTCCCCTTTTTCCCCCCCATCCACCCCCCTCGCCTCAACCCCCATGCCCTCAGGCCCTGAAAGCATCCCCGCACAGCTTGCCCTCCAAGCTCGCCCCTCCTTTGCCTTGCTGCAGGTTTATTTTGAGAATTCTCTCTAGATCCTCTTCCCCTCTTCCCCCCCCCCATCCAACCCCCCCTCGCCTCACCCCCCACCCCCTCAGACCCTGAAAGCGTCTCCGCACGGGCGGTCCTCCATCTCGCCCCTCCTTAGCCTTGCTGCAGGTGTATTTTGAGAATTCTCTATATCCTCACCCTAAACCCTTTCGCCCCCCATCCACCCCCCCTCGCCTCACCCCTCACCCCTCAGGCCCTGAAAGCATCCCCACACAGTTTTCCCTCCAAGCTCGCCCCTCCCTCGCCTCTCCCTCCCCCAAAACTGCTCGCCCCACCATCCCCATTCGCCCCCAACGGCGCTCCTCCTTCCTCCATGCCCGCTCAGCACCCCACCTCACCCCTCACTCGCCCGCCCCCCTCGCTGTCCTCGCGGCGGCCCCCCTCCATTCTCACACCGTGGGTGCTGGCGGGGGAAGCAGCTCTGTCAGCTCTGTCAGTGTCGGCTGCTCTCACCAACACCAGCACTCGCGCTACATCAGAAGGTATGCCTCATGGTGTCGGGTACTCTCCGGCGCCCCTCGCTGTCTTCACGGCACCCCCCCTCCATTCTGACACCCGGGCTGGTGGCAGGGGAAGCAGCTTTCCTACATGTCAACCTCACTTGCAGCACAGAAGCATTCGTGTATCGCTTCATTGCATTCACAACATGCGTTATACATTCGCATATTGTACGTGTTTGTGCTGGAGTGGTGCATATATGCCAAGTGCATTATGCAAGTTGCATTTGTCGTTGTCGGCTTAGAAAGCATCGCTTCCAAACGTACATGTCAATCTCACTTGCAGCACGGAAGCATTCGTGCATCACTTCATACGTTTATCGCACTATTGTATGCGTGCATATGTGGGTGCTGGAAAGGTTGGTTTTTGTGTGCAATTCCGTGGTTCTGCCGCCATATTTATCGACGGTGGAATCGTAGGAATTGCGCACAACTCCTAACCCTAAAGGAACACCCACACATGATTGTGCGTGGATGAGCATATTCAGCGTGCAGTCTTATGTTCTATTCGTCCATGTGTATAAAGTGGTATGATATGTTGTGGTTGATACTGCTGTGTTTAGATTAACAAATGCGAGATATATGTTTTAGTACCATCTGTCCGCCGTATTTATCGACAGAACACTGGTACTCAAAACATACATAAGCATTGTATTAGAACAGTCCACAAGTGTAAAATATATTGGTCAACCAATTTACAGGGGTAGTAACCCTGGAGTTATTGGACATGAATTGGCGCAAGAAAATTGCAAACCAAATTTATTAGGTTGTTACGCAACCCAAAAATCAATGCTCGTCGGAAGCTGGAAGGAATAGGAGTGGTAACTGCCTGTCATTCTTGGAAGTGGGCACGCCTGGAAATGGGATGCGTAGGGGGGCGTGATTTCCCCCAAATCAGAACTTCGAAGTTGAATTTTGTACTCGTTTTTGTGTCAAGTTGCTACAGTAAGCGCCTGGAAGATCAGTCTCGAATTGAATACACTAGTGTCTTTTATCCAGGTGCTTTCTTATAAACGAACCACCTGTTATTAAAACCACTTATGAGGCGCAAACCTCTAAAGTTGGTATTATCGAGGAATAGAATATAATAGGCAACATCAAAGTAACCCTTGCGCTCGAATATAGCTAGGCACGAAGCACTCAGTCGAGGCTCAGCAGAGCTGAGACGCATGGTTGGAAATTGGCATGGAACATGCCTGACGAGCTTGAATCTGCAAAGCACAAAAATTGCATGGGGCTCAACAGAGGGTCACTTTGGGGTGACGCATTTTGGATAAACATGGCAGAATAGCGCGGCAACCCGTTATGGTAGTGTACGCTTTACTAGTTTAAACCCGGGTTAATGTAATACCATTTCCTTACGCCCTTCCCCATCCTAGGTATGGTCTTAGTTAAGATCGTCGACATCACGCACATTGCGCGGCTGGAGCTAGGCTAAGAACATCGAGTAATTCTCGATTTGTGCTAGGGCCAACCAGTTTTTCTCTAAGGGTGTTCGCTCATTCCAAGAAATGAGAAGGCCGATGAGGTTTTCGATGGCTGACTGGCAGCGAGTTTCGACTTGTATTTGTGTCATCATGAATGAGTGGGAGCATGCATCATTGTGCCCATGTGTGCGTGTGCACGTGTGCATGCGCATGTATGCACACACATGCATGCATCCGCATGCCATGTGTTCAGCTGCCTTCTCATGTGTTACCCCTGTCAACAAAACTCTCACACCACCCCACCCCCCTCAATCTCTTTGTATCTTCCTCCCTTCCTCCACTCTCTCGCCCACCCCTGTCAGCCTCCTTTGCTCCCAACCCCTGGGCAGACGAGCTGCTAGCATGTGTCCCAATCCCATCCCACCACCGCTCCCTCGCTCTCCCCCCCTCCTCCTCTACCAATACTCATTCCGTAACTCCCTCCTCTCACACAAGTGAGGCGGAATGGCAGCAGCAGCAGCAGCAGCAGAGGGGGCAGTCGCGCTCATACTCCAGACGAGATGAGGACGACCATGGGGGGCAGGCAGGGGAGGAGGAGTGTAATGAGGGGAAGCGGAGGGAAAGGGAGGAGGAGGGCAATGACGGCAGCAGCAGAGAGGAGGGGGGTGATTCGTTTTACCAAGGCAATAGCAGTCCAAGCAGCACTAGCTGTGGCTCTAGTGCTTTCCCAGCGCCCATGGTGCCAAGCGAGTTTGGCCACGGCAAGCTGGGAGGCTGCATGGAAGGTCAGGGGTTCGAATCCCTGAATAGGAGGTATTTGGTGCCGAGCCTGCCTGCGGAGGATGGCAGTCGCAGATACATGGGCGTCGAGAGTAACAACTACACGGGTGGCAGTCACATGGGGGGTGGCAGTTACGCGGGTGTCGGCAGTAGTAGTAATCACATGGGCGATGGAGCCTGTATGGGGGATAGCAGACCGCTGGGAGGAGGAACGAGAGCACAGGCTGAGAATCACAGGAGGAGGGGTCCGCTGGGTCCGCAATATGAGAATCATTCACCAGATCCCGTTTCGAACTGCCTCTCGGACGATCTTTTTGACTCTATGACAGGCTACCAGTCAGCTGCTGATGCGATGTCAAGCGCTCTGACAGCGGAAGTCACTCCCGAGAAGCCGGTACCACCAGCCCATCCCGCTGCTTCTGCTTCTGCTGCTGCTGCTGCTGCTGCTTGTGCTGTTGCTGCTGCTCCTGCTGGTGCTGACGACGGTATTGACGACGGAGATTCCGCTTACTTCTCAGCTCTTAGCCCATTCGGCAGTGCAACATCTGCTTGGTCTGCAGTGTCTGCTGCTCCCAAACAACCAGCAGCGCCAGCAGTAGCACTAGTAAGAACAACAGCAGCAGCAACAACATCAGTAGCAGGAGCAGCAGCAGCAGCAGGAGCGCCAGTATTTGACAGTCCCGGTTTGTGTGTGGAGCAGTGGCAGCAGGCACTGAACTACAAGCCGCAGGATGCAACTTCCCTGCTGGGCAATGACCTTCTCACTGACGAAGACCAGCGGTTCCTGGACTCCGTCCCTCTCTCTCACTCCCTCTCTCACTCTCACTCTCACTCCGACCACCGCTACTGACTCACCACACCACCACTGACTGACTCCACCGCACCCCACCCGATTCCACTCCATTCCACTCCGTTTCGCACACTCTTCCTTCCCATTGCCTCACCTGCTGCCTCCCACTCAAGCTGATCACCTAACCTGCTTGCGCTCCCCTGTGCATTGTCATTATGCCCCATAATTTCCATGCATTTGGGCGTCTCTCTCTCACCCCATCCACGAGGCCTTCTGTTGCCAAATGCTGAAGGCGAAAAATCGCCAGAACTGCCTTGGATAGCACGACCTCAAGTCCCAGCGTCGGTTTTAGGTACATTGGATGTAGCTTTTGTTGCCTTGCCTACTCAACTCGAGCACCAAGTCTTAAGTTCAAGGTGCAAGACTTGGGGGTTAGGGCGAGCCTCATTTGTTCATTGACAGGGAAAGCTCTGTAACTGCTACCCCTGGACCTGACAGGCAGGCGTGCAAAACAATGACGATGATCCGTAACAATTCAGAGAAGTACAAGCAACATTCCCATCCCTATTAAGCAGGCCCCAAGATAGGTTTTTCGGCACGTTGATACTGTCAGCAATAAATATTTAAACAGATTAGCTAGGTCATATTTGTTTATAGCCTAGCTAGTTTAGTTCTTAGCCAGTACAGCCCTAGTTTGTATCCCTCGACATTTTCCCTTAGCACACTTTTCCCGCTACTCTTGTTAGAATTGTTGTGGTATATTTTATACTTAGCATTTCTGTGAGTCGTTTATCGATAGAGAGTGTCGAATCCTACTGTAGAAGATAAGACCGTAGGATGACGTCAGCAAATAGCGCTCGTCATAGGACAGTCGTTTCAGTCACGCGAATAGTCATACCTCTTCATTATCATCTAGGGCGCATAGCGCGATAGTGACGAACAGATACATTCGCGAATATGTACTTTCCTAGAGCTATAAATCTTTGTTGTGTCCTTATTATTAACCTTGAGATTTCAACTTTGAGAACTTTGAGACTTAACTTCTGCAGAAACATATACTCAGGTTCATTCTTACAAGACTTCTGCTGTCTTACTAGTCTACCGTTCCAGTAAAGATCCTAAGCTAACACTTGAGGTTTTCCAAGTGTTCGTGTTTGCAGATTCTATACCTAGTCTTCTGCAACACCTATCAAGTTATTACATGGTATGAGAGCTATCTGGAATTAAGACTACTGTCAACAACGACTGGTTCATCACCAGCACCGTCTGCCGGATCAACTTCCGGAACTACTGGAGTACATGTCTCCACGACCGCCACTGGTCTCTCAGCCTCTGCACCGTTTCCACCGGCTTATGCGCATATCGGTATGCAGCAGCAGCATCATCAGAATCCGTCTTCTGTCAGTACTCCAGGGATGTCATCAACTGCCCTTGCAGCACAACAACAAGCATCAGTACAGCAACAGGCATCAGCACAACCACCGTTTTCGACTCAGTCTATATCTTCTGCGTTCAGTGGAATGAGCCTTGACGGCTCAAGTTATATGTGTGGAGCCTCAGCTCCAAGTACTGGTTCATTCGCTTTCTCACCCTTTGTGCAGCAGCCGCAGACACAATATCAGCAGCAGCATCCCTTTTACATCTTTGGTCGTTCCCCTGCTCAGCAACAGCAACAGCAACAACAGCCACAACAGTTTCAGCAACAGCAACAACAACAGCAACAACAACAGCAGCAACATCAACAGCCACAACAACCGGGTGTCAAACATGTGTATTCGTTATGTTTGCATAGACTGTATAGGGTCACCTCTTAGAGGGTACAATACTTAGGTATATCTATCTGTACTCTCCCACTACTCATTAATCACTTCTCTCATTCTGATATGGTATCACGCGTAGGTTAGCATCCCCCACCTATCGCTTCCGCTCGTCCTCTGGCTAGGCCCTGCCGCGCCCCTCCTGGGCCCCGTCGCGACCCCCTAGCCCCGTCGCGACCCCCCTGGGCCACGTCGTGCCCCTAGCCCTGCCGCGCCCCTCCTGGGCCCCGTCGCGACCCCCTAGCCCCGTCGCGACCCCCCTGGGCCCCGTCGTGCCCCTAGCCCTGCCGCGCCCCTCCTGGGCCCCGTCGCGACCCCCTAGCCCCGTCGCGACCCCCACTGGGCCCCGTCGTGCCCCTAGCCTTGCCGCGCCCCTCCTGGGCCCCGTCGCGACCCCCTAGCCCCGTCGCGACCCCCCTGGGCCCCGTCGTGCCCCTAGCCCTGCCGCGCCCCTCCTGGGCCCCGTCGTGACCCCCTAGCCCCGTTGCGACCCTCCAGGGCCCCACTACGCCCCTCGCCCTGTAGCGCCCCTCCTGGGCCCCGTAGCGCCCCTCCTGGGCCCCGCCACGCCTGCAGGCCCCGTTGCTCCCCTGCTCGGCCCCGTCGCACCCGCCCGGCCCCGTCGCACCCTGCCCGGCCCCGTCGCCGCCGCCCGGCCCCGTCGCACCCGTCCGGCCCCGTCGCGCCCGCCCGGCCCCGTCGCACCCGTCCGGCCTCGTCGCGCCCGCCCGGCCCCGTCGCACCCGCCTGGCCCCGTCGCACCTGCCCGGCCCCGTCGCACCCTGCCCGGCCCTGTCGCCGCCGCCCGGCCCCGTCGCACCCGTCCGGCCCCGTCGCGCCCGCCCGGCCCCGTCGCACCGGCCCGGAGCCGTCGCGCCCGCCCGGCCCCGTCGCACCCGCCCGGCCCCGTCGCGCCCGCCCGGCCCCGTCGCCCTCGCCCGGCCCTGTCGCACCGGCCCGGCCCCGTCGCACCCGCCCGGCCCCGTTGCACCGGCCCGGCCCCATCGCACCCGCCCGGCCCCGTTGCGCCCTGCCCGGCCCCGTCGCACCTGCCCGGCCCCGTCGCACCCGCCCGGCCCTGTCACACCTGCCCGGTCCCATCGCGCCGACCCGGCCCCGTCGCACCCGCCCGGCCCCGTTGCACCGGCCCGGCCCCGTCGCACCTGCCCGGCCCCGTTGCGCCCTGCCCGGCCCCGCCGCGTTTGCCGAGCCCCGCTGCACCGGCCCGGCCCCTGCGCTCATCCCAGCCCCGGCCCCTTCATCCTCACTAGTACGGTTCTCCCCCCCCCCCTTCCCTGCACCGTCCTGCTCCGCACTGCACTTCCCTGCACCGCACTGCACCGCCCTGCACCGCCCCGCACCGCACTGCACTGCCCTGCCCCGCACTGCACCGCCATGCACTGCTCTGCTTTGCACTGCACCTCACTGCACCGTACTGTCCCGTCCTGCACTGCCCCTGATGGCGGCGGAGCTTCGCTTCGACGCTGAAGGCCAGCCTCTAAAGTTTGAGGCGTGGCTTGCCGACCTCCGGCGCCAACTCACTGGCCAGCGGCAGGATGGTGAACCGCTTTCCGTACACCTTGACGGTACGCTCCCCTGCCCAGACCCCCCTGCTATTCTGCCCGCTGACTCCACACCCACTAAGCGCGAGTCTACTGCTGCCACTGCCCGTGCGCGCTCTGTCTGGCTTTCTCGCGATGCTGTCGCCCAGCTTGCCATTAGCAACGCCCTTCCCCCGTCCGAGCGCCCTCGCTTTAGGTCCCTCATTACTGCTCAGGCATACTTAGATGCTGTCATCAAGCGCTATTCCACCCCTCCGGCTGCCTCGGTGGGTCGCCTGATCCTCCCGATGCTCTTTCCTGACCTTGCATCTTTTCCCACTGTCTCTGACCTCGCTGCCCACCTGCGCTCGATAGATGAGACCTGGCGCGCTGCCTGCACTGACGCACAGCTTAGAGCCCACCAGCCGCCCATTACCTCTACCCTTTACCTGCTTGCCACCCGCCTCCCTGACCGCCTTGCTGTCGCCCGCGACCACTTCCTTAGCATTCACCCCGCAGACCTCACCCTCACTGACTTTGTAGACACCCTGACTGTGATTGAGACCCGCCACCGCTCCATCGCCCAGGCGAGCGGTACCGTGCCGGTCCCTATCTTTCAGGGTTGTGCCCCTGCTCAGTGTACCTTCTCCGACGGCCCTGCCGGAGTAGCTGACACCGCTGCTGCAGCGCAGTTTCGTTCGGGGAAGGGCCGCCGCCCCAACGTTGGGCGCGGCGGAGGAGGCGGGGGTGCGGGAGGGGGTGGTGGTGGAGTCGGGTCGTCTGGTGCTGGAGCGGAAGAGGGGACCCTGCCCAGTCCAGCTGAGCCGCCGCCCCTGCAGTTGCAGCAGCCGCAGCAGCCGCCGCAGTCGCAGCCTTCGCAGCAGCCGCAACAGCCGTCGCAGACGCGGCAGACGAGTGTCCTCCCGCCCGGGTGGCCCGGCGCTGGCGGTGGCCGGGCGCGTGGTGGTGTGCCGAGTGGTGGCTCTGGAGGCGTGCGTTGTCAGTACCAGATCCAGACCGGTCCTCGCCGCGGCTTCGTTTGCGGTAAGATCGGTCACTCCACTCCCCGCTGTTTTCGTCGCCTGGATGACCTGTTTCGTCAGCGCTTCGACCCGTCGCCAGACCTTCTGGACTGGCACAGTTTGCTTAGTCGTAAGATTCAGATTTTTGACATGGACATGGATGCCATTGTTTCTGCTCTGCATGTGATGTATGCTGATGACTCTAGTGTGCTTCCCGCTTATTACTCACTGTCGGATAGTGTAGGTGTGCCTAGCTTAGCCTCCCCTGCTGCGTCAGGCGTAGGATCCCCTGCATTGTGTAGTCTCGGTGCTTCCGCCGTCATTCCGTCGCCAGACGCCTCTGCTTCGCTTTCCTTCACCCTGGACTCTGGCGCTTCTCGGTGTTTCTTCCACGACTTCACCACCCTGACGCCGCTTCCTGTTCCTGCTGCCGTTTCTCTTGCTGACCCCTCCGGCGGTCCGGTAGTCGCCCGCAGTTCCACCACCCTTCCCTGTCCGGCGGTTCCTTCGGGCACTCTCACAGGTCTGCATATCCCCTCGTTCTCCATGAACTTAGTTGGTATCGGCTGCCTCCAGGACCTTGGCATCACCACTACGTTCCCTGGTCACGAGCGGTATGGTGTCTGTACCGAGGCCGCCACTGGTGCCCCCCTGTCCACGTTCCCCCGGGACCCGGTGTCCGGCCTGCTCACTCTGGACACCATGACCCCCCCGGCTGGAGCGCTCACCCAGGTTGCTGCCTGCTCCTGTCGGTCCCTCACTCACCCGACTCTCCTTTGGCACCACCGCCTAGGTCACCCTGCGCTCCCGCGTCTGCGTCACATGTCCCAGCACGGTCTTGTCCTTGGTCTCCCAGGTTCTCTCCCCGCGTTTCCCTCCTCCCCAGCCCCACCTTGCACGCCTTGTGTCGAGGGTCGGCTTCGCCGTGCCCCTCACTCCTCCTCGTTTCCCCCTACCGCCGCGCCGCTGCAGACCCTGCACCTGGACGTCTGGGGCCCCGCCCCCGTCCCTGGGCCGCGTCGAGAGCGCTACTTCCTTGTGCTTGTCGACGACTTCACTCGTTACACCACAGTCTTTCCCCTGTAGCGCAAGGCCGACGTGCCTGACGCTCTCATCCCCTGGCTTGTCTCTGCGCGTGTCCACCGCGGTCTCCCTGTCTTGTGTCTTCACTCCGACCGTGGTGGCGAGTTTGCCTCAGGTGTCCTTGGTCGCTTTTGCCGTGCGGAGGGCATCACCCAGACGTTCACCCTACCGGACTCCCCACAGCAGAATGGGGTCACTGAGCGACGCATCGGTTTGGTCATGGAGGTGGCTCGCACCTCCATGATCCATGCCGGTGCACCCCATTTTCTGTGGCCGTTCGCTGTGCGCTACGCTTCTCACCAGCTTAACTTGTGGCCGCACCCTCAGCAGCCACAGGTTTCACCGACCCGTCTTTGGACTGGGTCTCCTGGTGACGCGTCTGCGTTCCACGTCTGGGGCTGCCTTGTTCACGTCCGTGCCTCCGGCACGGACAAGCTCACTGCCCGCACCCTTCCCTGCGTCTTCCTCGGTTTTCCTCTTGACGCGTCCGACTGGCACTTTTACCACCCGCCGTCTCACCGCTTCTTTCACTCTCGCGACGTCACATTTGACGAGTCCGTCTCCTACTACCGTCGCTTCCCCCACCGCGGTCCCCCGGTTACCCCCCCTCGGTTTCTGGTCACTCCTTCCCCGGTAGTCCCTGCCCCTCCTCCTCCTCCTCCCCGTCCTGCCCCCTCTGGTGTGTCCCACGTCACCCCCCTTCCGTCGGTAGACCCGGTTGAGGAGTCTTCTGACTCTGGTGGCCCTGCTGCGCAGTCCTCGCCGGCCGCACCTCCCCCGGCGTCCCCTCCCCAGTCCCCTCCTCCACCGCCTCTGCCGCCGCTGCAGCCGTCGTTGTCGCTGCCGCCGCCGCCGCCGCCGTCCCAGCACCCGTTCGCTGACTCTGGGGGTGCTCGTCCCGGTCGCCCTGGGGGTGGTCCCTCTGGGGGTGCTGGTGTGGAGTGTGTCGGTGGTAGCCGAGGAGCAGCTTGCGGTCCAGGTGTCGCCGTTGTGCCGCCGCAGCAGCAGTCCCCGCCGGTGTCAGCCCTTCGCCTGCTCGGCCTTCCGTCCCCTGACCCTGCGATTGTTCCTCTCCGACCGTCTCCTCCTCTTCCCGTCTACGGCCCTGTGTTCCCTCCGCCGGACTCGTCCCCGGCCCGTCTTCCCCCTCGTTCCCCTCCTGTCTCCCCTCCCCTGTCTCCTGACCCGACTCCTCCGTCGCACGACTGGTCTCACCGTCCCTCCCATGCTCGTCCTGCCTCGCCTGTCTTGCGCTCCCACCCTATGTTGCTTCGTTCCCACGCGTCTCGTCCTCCCCTTCTGCCGTCGCCTCCTCCATCCTCCCTTATTGTTGCACCCCCCCCGCTGTCTGACTACCTTCGTGCCGCTCGTCCTCTTGTTCCCCGGGTCCTTGCCTCTCTCGTTACCGACCCGTCTGTTCCGGTCTCGTGCCTTGACGCTCTTGTAGCTGCGGTCGCTGACTTCGCCTCTACCCGCCGCCTTGACTACGCCACCGCTCTGGTCTCTGACCCTGCCTGTCCTCTGTCTGTCGGGGGTGCTCCTGCCCTTGGCAGTGACGTCCTGGAGGACCGCCAGTTCGAGCTTGCTTTCCTCTCCGAGGCTGCTCCCCATCTCTGTTCCATGCTGCTGGTCCCTGAGGGTGACCCAGACGCTTTCGACATCCCGACCCCTCGCACTTACGCTGAGGCGACCTCGGGACCTTGGGCCTCGTAGTGGATAGCTGCCATGGAGCAGGAGATGGCATCTTGGAGATCCACCGGCACCTTCGTCGACGCAGTTCCCCCGCCTGGGGTGAACGTAGTCGATGGCCGCTGGCTCTTCAAGGTGAAGAGCCCTCCTGGAGAGCCGCCAGTCTTCAAGGCGCGCTACGTGGCTAGAGGCTTCAGTCAGCGTGAGGGGGTGGACTTCTTCCAGACCTTCGCTCCGACCCCGAAGATGACTACTCTTCGGGTTCTGCTACACCTAGCTGCTCAGCGCGACTACGAGCTTCACTCCCTCGACTTCTCCACTGCCTTCCTTCAGGGCAGCCTACACGAGCAGGTCTACTTGCGTCGCCCTCAGGGCTTTACTGGCACCTTCCCTCCTGGGACCCAGTGGCTCCTGCGGCGCCCCATCTACGGCCTGCGCCAGGCTCCCCATGAGTGGCACGACACTCTCCGTGCTACGCTTGCTGACCTGCAGTTCTTTCCGTCTTCCGCAGACCCCTCACTCTTCGTTCGTGCTGGCCAGACTCCGTTCTACATCCTTGTTTACGTTGACGACCTGGTCTTTGCCACAGCAGACAGGGACGCACTGGCCTCCGTGAAGGCAGAGCTGCTTAAGAGACACACGTGCACTGACCTTGGAGAACTGCGCCGTTACCTTGGCTTGCAGATCTCCAGGGACAGAGCAGCGCGCACCATCACCCTGACTCAGTCACACTTGGTGCGCCAGGTCCTTCAGAGGTTCAGCCTTCAGTTCTCCTCTGCACAGCCCACCCCTCTGCCTGTAGACCACAGACTCTCCGCTCCAGTGTCTGAGGAGTCGGTAGAGCCCAGCGGCCCCTACGCAGAGCTGGTGGGTTGCCTCATGTACCTGATGACTTGCACTCGCCCAGATCTCGCATACCCTCTCAGCATCCTGGCTCGCTTTGTGGCCACAGGCAGACACCGACCGCAGCACTGGTCTGCCGCTAAGAGGGTTTTGCGTTATCTTGCTAGTACATCGGGCATGGGGTTAGTGCTAGGAGGACGCAGGCCAGTGGTCCTTACTGGACACACCGACGCTTCGTGGGCAGACGACGCCGAGACACTCAGGTCTACCCAGGGCTACTGCTTCAGCCTTGGCTCAGGTGCCGTCTCGTGGAGAGCTACCCGCTCCTCGTCTGTTGCCCAGTCCAGCTGTGAGGCCGAGATCTACGCTGGTGCCATGGCGGCACAGGAGCTCCGCTGGCTGACCTTCTTGCTCACTGACTTAGGTGAGCGGCCTAGCTCTGCCCCGGTCCTGTTCGCTGACAACAGGGCCATGATCCTCCTGTGTCAAGAGCCTCGACTCGAGGGCAGAGCGAAGCATATTCAGCTGCGATACTTCCTCCTGCGCGAGCTACAGCAGCGACGCCAGGCTCGCGTAGTACACTTGGCCTCAGGTGCCAACACAGCTGATATCTTTACGAAGGCGCTTGCGCCTAAAGATCATCAGCGGCACTGCGTACAGTTTGGTCTAGTCCCTGTAGCCTCTCACTTGCTAGGGCCTTGACTTTGTACTGCCCTTTTATATGTATACTCAGACTGGACTTGTGTCCTCTACCAGTGGCTGGACTAGTAGTGCCGCCCTGATCTTGTTCTTGCCTTGTCTGTACTCCTTCTGACTGGTCTTTTAGACCCTTGTCTCAGAGGTTGGACTAGTAGTGCCGCCCTGAGCTGCTTGTTCAGGACATTCCCCTATGCTGTCTAGGGGGTGTGTCAAACATGTGTATTAGTTATGTTTGCATAGACTGTATAGGGTCACCTCTTAGAGGGTACAATACTTAGGTATATCTATCTGTACTCTCCCACTACTCATCATTCACTTCTCTCATTTTGATAGCGACAACTACTTCAGCACGTGAGTTGGGGCGAGGTCGACAACGAGGGCAGCGGCTGCAACGGCGGCGACGGCAGCAGCGTCAACTGCGACGGCGGCGGCGGCGTGCGGCGGCGGCGTGGCCAGCTGCACCAGCTGCGGCAGGGGCAGCTTCGACGGACAGCTGCTGGCGGCGGCGGAGCTCGCAGCACTCGGCGGCGTGGCCGGGCTCCGCGACAGTGGGACGGCCGGCGCGAGTCAGCCGTCGGCTGCGGCAAGGAAGAGGGGACACAGGGGAAGGGGGGCGAGGCTTCAGCAGCGGAGCCCGGGAGCGTGCCGCCCTGTGTGGCGCGCTGGCTGCATGCGGGCGTGCTGGCCAGCGCTAAGACGGGGCGCTGGCCGCTGCCGTCCGTGCCGCCCGCGCGCTGCCGCATAGACGCCGCGGCAGCGTGACGGCGCTGTCACGCCGCCACAGCTTGACGTCGACGCCGCGACAGCGCGACGCCACGGCAGCGCGTTGCGACGGCCGCGGCAGCACGACGCGGCCGGCGGCACGACGACGCGGCAACAGCAGCACGACGCGGCCACCATGGCAGCGCGAGAGAGAGAGTAGAAGAGCGCGGCGGAAGCGTGAGGAGCAGGCCCACAAGGAACGAACTGCTCTAATACCATGTCACAAAGCTAGGTTAGCTAGGAAAGAAGGCGGCCATGAAATGGCGAGAGGTTTAGGAGCTAGGAGCAAGGAGAGGAGGTTGACGAGAGAAAAGAGAGTGAACTAGAAGAGAGAGTGGCATACAAGGAGGGGATTGTACCCTCTACAGTAGTGTTCAATAACCTACCGAGCCTACAATTATATATCAAATATAATTTAACAGCTTCCCCGCGAGGGAGAGTTTTCATCTTCGCCAGAGTGGCGGAACGAAAAAGGCGAGACGGGAACTCAATTGAACTTGAACTGGGAAAAAATGAGAAACGTGGGTGGAGGAAGAATGACCTCCAACCCCAATATTTAGTTGGTGAAAGGACAAGCGCGCTTAGACGATGCCGAAGATAGCGTTGAAAGCAGCTTCACATTCACTAAAGAAATTTTGCAAGTGGGAACATTTAAAATTTAACATATTACTCGATGACTAATGATTGAATTGAAAGCTTGCCAATTAGGTATTCTGCACACACAGCAGTAAATTAGTAGAGTGCATGCAGGGCTCTAGTAGTAGAGGGGCACGAGGTGCGCCCCCCACCACTATACTCCGTTTTCTATGACAACCCACCCACGACTGTCACCACCCATAGTGCCTCCACCCACTACTGTCACCACCCATAGTGCCTCCACCCACTACTGTTACCATCACCTGCCACCATCACCCACTGCCAACTTGCATGCCAAGCTGCATGCCACTGCAGAGGGCAGCACAACGAGGCCACTTCCAGCCGCCCACTGCCCCAAATAGTCACAGCTCACAGCAGGTGGTTTCCCTTCAGGTACTGTAACCCCATGGTGCATATGACCACACAGAGGGCAGCAGCATGTCCCCGCCCTGGCAAGGCCGCGGACGGCCCTGTGCTGCACGAGGATCAAGTCCTCCAGACAAACCCTCCCCTCTCACATTCACAGCATGGGTACGGCACAGTGACAGCAGCCTGCACTCAGAGCACCCATTCGCCCCTTACAGTCACAGCTCAGTCACTGGCTCACAGCAGGTGGTGGTCCCTCAGGTACTGCAGCCCCATGGTGCACGTCACCACAGACGGCAGCATCATATCGCCGCCCAGCGCCAGCCTGGCGAGGTCACTGGCCGGCATGTGCAGCACCTGAATAAACTCCTCTGGGTCGCGCGGAAGAGGCGTGGGGTCGGTGTGCGGGTCGATGATGAGGAAGGGAGTGAAGCGGTTCTTGCACCACTTCACCTCCAGCAGCCCTGGGTGGTCGTCTGGGATGAGCCTCACAAGCCGACCGCCACGCAGGCGCGCCTGATGGTAGGAGTCAGGAGTTCAAAAGAGTGAGAGAGCGGTTGGGAGGAGTGAGTCAAGGGTTGCGAGGGTGGGGGGGAAACCAATGCTGCTGGCACTACTGAGAGACACGTAGTGCCTGCACCCATGCGCACAGTGATGCCTATCCTTGTGATGCAAATTGCTCACCTCCTCTGAGAGTTCACTCCTGACACAGTCCTCCAGCGATGCATGTGAGCTGCTGAGGCCCCCGCACGGCACTGTGTACAGCAGGCTGTTGGCGCCCTGCGGGAAAGGGGTGAGGAGTGAGGAGTAGGGAGATGAGATCTGATGGGTGGGAGACGTGGTGGTAGGAGAGACAGGCCGTTTGAGCAGCTGAACCCCGCATATGTGTACAGCAGGCTGCTGGCGCCCTGTGTGGAGAAGGAAGGCGCACAAGGGTTAAACTTCAAAACATTCATGTACTATTTTGAAAAGAGCATTGCTCTGGCAGAGACATACATGCGCGCACTCCTTGAGAAGAGTGACGGACTTGGTTGCCGAGTGGTATGGCAGGAAGGGTGTGGAAGACAACATGGGACCCAGCTACCGTGCCACTGATCCTAGCGTGCCTGCAGTTACCTTACCTGCGCGTACTCCTTGAGGAGGGTGACGGACTTGGTGGCCGAGTGGTACGGCAACACGCAGATGAAGTGGCTGCTCGCGGACGACACGATGTCGTACTCCACCACCTTCTGCTGCTTCGCCCTCTGCCCCTTCGCCTCCTCCTCTTGCTGCTGCTGCTGCTGGAACTGGATACCTCCTTCGGCCCCCTCCATTATCACACCTCCCCTGCTCCGCATCACGGATCCTGCAGCACAGGCTGCCACGATCGGGCCTCTAGCGCCTGACGCCCCATAAGCAGCCCCATTACCCGCACGACGTCCATTAACTGCAGTAGGCGCTGCTAGTTGGTCAACTGGGGAGGTGACGAAGCTGGTTTCCGCGGCACGCTCTGGGTCTTGCAGTGCACGAGGCGACTGTGGGTGCTGATGGGTGACAACGGTTGAAAAGGGGGGGAAAAAAAAGAAGGGAAGGGGGTGGGAGGGAAATGACGGGAGGTGGGGGGGGAGGGGGGGGGTAAGGGAAAGGGAATAAGGGAATGATGCACGGACGCACTAACCAGCGTTTTAGGCTCATCGCTCAACGGCACCCCCGTCGCTCACCTGCACCCCATCGCTCACCTCCACCCCGTCATTCACTGCGATTGCTCACCTGCACGACTCGGCTGTAGATTTTGAGGTAGCGAGAGAACTTGAGCTCCTCCTGGGACAACCAAGCGGGAGCAACGGCACAAGAATCCAAGGCTTCAGATTCAGGAAAGTCCAAAACGTACCAAGCAGATACAGGTAAGACCTCAGAACTTGTCGAACCCTTCACAACCAACTCTTCTATCACTAAATACCTTGAGAATCTTGAACCCGTGCTGAGAACCGTCGTCAGATCCTTCGACCAGTGGTCCCCCCAGCTGCACTTGTTGCTCCCGTGCCTGCTCTGGCACCGATGGAGGTTGATACCATTTTTCCACTCGCTCCTCCAATTTCCGTTCACCGATCTTCGTTCCTCCCTCTTGATTCTCACTGTCTACATGCGTATCCTTCACCCGCAGCTGCCCAGCCTTTCTCGCCAAGAGCCGGATCTTGTTCTGCATGATCTCGCTCCTCCGACTCTCGGTGTCAACCCAAGCAGCACCAGCCACAGCAGCAGATGCAGGGTTCCTCACACCCCCGCTCAGCGTGAGTCCCAGGCTCTCCAGCAGGTGAGAGTCTTCCCCCAACGACTCGACAGAGAGGCAGTCCGTCGGTAGTAGCAGCGAGGGAGGCAGTGAAGGCGGTGTGAGCAGAGCCGGACCTTCCGTGGCTGGATCTTCCACTGCACGAGTGCAACAGGTGGAAAAACGAAAAAGCAATTCCTCATCATGTATGAATTCCAGAATGTGTGAGTACGTCTTATTCCTAAAATCACACTACCGAGCACTACATGCGGCAACTCCGTTCGCTAGCATACCTGAGAGTTCTCTGTCGATAGTTGCTGACCCGTCTCGCCGTCCACCAGATGGGAATGCCTTCCGGGAGATACTGCTGCCGCTGCCGTCGCTTTGAAAAGCAGGGCCTGGCCGGCACGGCGACGACGGCCGCGGCGAAAGACCCAACGGCTGCCGCTGTTGGAGGGGCCATTGCGGTCGGGGAAGAGGCTGGAAGCTCCCTTGGTGCTTCTGACTGGTTGTGTTGAAGGCGCGATGGGAATCGCGACGGGAGGAGGCGATAGGGCTTGAGGGACGAGGCCGGCTCACGCAGCCTGAAAGGAGAACCGTGAGAAAGTGGGAGAAGAAATCAATGTCTGAAGCTGACCGTGACAATGCCTAGCCAATCACAGAAAGGTATGTTGTTCCGTGCTTATAATAAAACAAATTGGCAAAAGACTCACTCGTCACGGACGCCATTGCATTCCCGAAATTGAGGAGGCGCTACTGACGCGTTACGCAATGCCACCCTTTAAGATTCCTGGAAGAGTTCGAAATCCAAATTTATAATCGAAAGAGAATAACATATATCGCTGGAGGATCGGTCGTCACTTCGCTGATGGTGTGACCACAGCAGTGTAAATAACAGGAGCCTTTGCCGTGTGATCAAAGAACTCGGGAAATCACTGATCCCGCAATATATCTGGGGACTGACTCGCCCGATGGAAGCTGAGATCCATATTAGGACCATCTGGTATTTTTCCCCACCTGGTGGGTTCCATGGCGGATCAACCCAACTGCTGCAGTTGCCTCTCTGCCATTCCTCCTGACCATCTGCATTCCCTCGGGAGGGAATTGGTTGCTTGAATTTGAAACTACGGAAACTGCGGATCTCGCAGAACAGCTACAGAAACACAGGAATGACGGCGGCGAAAGTGGAGGCTCCCATAAGGGAGGACTCTCGCATCTGCTATTGGTTCCAGACATCCTAACATCCAGAAAAGCTGGAGATTGACAACGCAATCCGAGGCTAGGCAGAGAGTTGTGGCGCCTGAAGCTCTGACAGGCTTCGGCTCTATCAACAAGATTTTGCCGAAGCACAAGAAGTGGCCAGTGAGTCCCCGTTTGGGTTAGAGCCACGCAGCCCGAGCCACGGTAAATGAACCACAACCATACAAAACGCCGAACCTTTTAGAGCTGTGGAAGTTGATGTGGCTCGGCGTCAATGGACGGATTTTACATGTCACCAAAGGAACTTTATGCCTTTTTCGGCAGCATTGATCCACTGCTGCTGAAATTTGATGCCCAGCGTCGCCAAGCCTACCGGGCTGCTTCGAGCTCTCCTAGCTGCTTCGGTCTCCCCGAACCTCCAAATTCAAAAGTGAGCACAGTGAAACCCCTCTAGAGGGTCTCTCGCTGCAATAGTAGCGTATTGGCTACTATGAGTACACTTGTCTGTTTCATGCGAGCTGAGTTTATCAAATAGAGAGCTACTCATCAAGCTCTACTACTTTCTTCCCGCTCGCCTCCTAGAACCTTTTTTTTTAGGGTGCGAGAGGGGAACACCATAGCCTGTTGTCGTTGCGCCACCCCGCTTCCTTAGTCCCATCCGCCGGACCATCCTTTCCTTTCGCCATCAAAACCACGAACTTCGTTTCCTCACATTCATCCCGCTTCCCGATTTCTGGTTCGTCGTCCACTTCCAGCCAAGCGATGGCGTCGGGCTTCGGCATCCACGGCGGTCGCGGCCGGTGCTATCCGGTGTGGCTCGACTTCTCCGAGTGCATGTCGCAATGCCAGGACCCGCGCGAGTGCGTGCCGCTGCGGGAGGACTACTTCGAATGCTTGCACCATCGCAAGGAGGTAAGCTGGTCTGCGCCGTTAGATCGTCTTCATAGGGTGACTACAGATGCATTTGTAGAGCCCGAGTCGAAAGAAGGCTGAGATCGGGGGCGCGCATTCGAGTGAGACGAACTGCGGAACGCGTCGCTTCAAAACGGAGATTTTGTTCATTTTAGGGTTGGCTTGACAGGGCCACGACCCGGACCTGACTCCAGGAGACGAGCCATCGTGCACTCGCGCCGGTCACGCTACCATACACTCCAAGCCTTTCCGTCCCCTTACCATCTCCTGCCCGCTTCCTTTCCCTCCCAAACTCAACAACCGACCCCATCCCCGCCCTGCCCTGTGGACATCATTCCCTTGCCCTGGCACCAGTTCACGCGGATGAACGCCATCAGCAAGGAGAAGCAGAGGCAGCTAAAGGAGGGCGACCAACCGAGCAGTGAAGGCAACCATGGTGGCTCTGGTCATCACTGATGCAAGCTCAGCTGCTGTCCTTCGCTTGCAGCTATGGTGCAGACTAATGTTGAGGCTTGGGAATTTAGCTTGGAGAAATCCAGCAGGACTCAAATCTTGTTCTGGGGTGGATGTGGCTTATCTAAAGCAGGATTCATTTACAATTTTACTGCTTTCAAATTAACAGTACCTAACATCCTAATGGCATCATATCATGTTCGCTACCTACTGATATGCTTAAAGTAAACATGACAACAACAACCCTACGAGATGGTCAGCATTGTTCAGCAAGCAAGCAACCCTAAATGGCCATGCAGTAGTTAGAAGTTTGCACAAGAGTTAGTGCTGAAGGCATACCTACAGTAGGTCAGTATCCCCATTCCCACCTGCACAAACCCATCCCACCAGCAGTACCAGCCACTTGTCTTTCCCAGTCCCTGTCACTCCAACCATCTCGAGTCACTCTAAGTCTGCAGGCATATCCGGGTGCCCAAGATTCGCCAGGCCCCTAGCTGCTGTTTGTGGAGTCAACACTGCCAGTGGAACTCCTGCAAACCCCCCAGGTCCTCTCACTGTGGCTCCCGTTGTCACCTTGGAATCATCACCTGCTGCATCAACAGCAGCAGCTACAGCCGTAGGGTGTGCCTGAAGAAGCCGCTGCTCCACTTCAGCCGCCCGCTCGCACAGGGCGAGGGTGGTGCTTGTCCATAGGCGTGTACTCTCGTTCTGAAATGCAAAGAAAAAGGACGAGCAGTGGAAAAAGAGCAGGAGAAATCAGTGACACAACTGATCAGCACTGCAGCGGTCAAGACACAAACCACAAACGCCTAGGTCCTGTCTCACCTTAGCTTTGACCACAGGGAGAGTCTCCTCAATCAATTCTGCAAGCTGAGCGTCTGACACATCCCCCTCTCCCCCGTCGCTTTTCTCCACTTCCTCCTCAATGTTCTGCAGCGATTCTTCCTCCTCGGCCTCCTCTCGCTTCTCCACAGCCTCAATCTCCTGCATCTCCTTCAACAGATCCTCCTTGATCTCTCTCAGTCCCTGCAACCGGAACAGTACGGCAGCTAACGACTCTTTCCTCCCTTCCACAGCCGTCTGCTCCTCCGTGGCCCGCTCAACCCGCTTGCCTGACGGCATTCCATCGGCCTTCCCCGCGTTCTCATCCTCATCCCCGTTCCCCTCATTTGTGCTCGTTTCAAACGCTCTGATATCAAGCATGGACGCGAGATAGCACCGCTTCAGGCATGCTTTGACCTGCCTGGCAATTCCCAGCGGCTTCTGGTCCGCGTTGCAGGTCTCCTGCGCGAAGATGACGTTCATACGTGACTCGAGAAACTCCTTGGTCAGTTCCACAGGCCCGTCCGCTCCCTGCTTGCTTGCTTCACCACTCGCCTGGCCTTGCTCAGCAGTCGTAGCATCGCGATTGTCCTTCTCCCCTGTCGCCATTGTCTTCAAACCACCTTCCCCCGCTTGACCCGCTTCTATTGAACCAGCTTCTCCCACTTGCTTCGAAACAGCTTCCCCCGTTTGCTTTACCTCCTCGTGTCCCGCCTGCTTCACACCAGCTTTTCCCGCTTCCGACCCTGCTTGTCCCGGCTCCTGCATCAGTGCGCACCGCTGAAGGCTCCACCCTCCCTGACCAGCAGGCCCAGGAGTGACTCTACGTCTGACAGACGCTCCAAGGGAAGGACGCCGTCTGGCCGGCGTTAAGGTCATTCGTCTCTTCTCGAACCACGCAGCGTCGTCTTCAATGAGAGAAGCAGCATCCACGGCCGAGGGGTCCTTCGAAAGCAGAGTAATCGCTGCAATGCGCGCCACGCCGCCTCCTAAGCTCGCCCGATAGCTCCGATCTGCGAATTTCCACCGCTTCGAGGTAGGCGTCAGCTGCTCCACGCCTCCGAGACTCTGGTTCAGCCGCTTCTTATAACGACTGCTGGGAGTCGCCGGTTCTGCTGGTCTGGCACCACCACCCTGACCCCCAGTCCCCGGTGGGCCATGAGAAATGCTGGTGGCTGGCGCCGATGCCTCCAGAGCAGGGTTAGCTGAGTCAACGCGGGAGGATTCAGCAGCTTCAGGAGCTTCAGGAGCTTCAGCGGCCGGGGTAGAAGATGGAAGGATGGGAGCAGCGACGGGGTCTGAAGGGACGGTGCGACTCGCAGGGACTACGAAAGGCAGGTCAGATGGAGCAGGAGTCAGGCGAGAAGGCTGATTCTTGTAAATGCGAGGCAACTTGACCTTCGGATAGTCAGAGTCCGAGTCAGAAACTATATCACCATCTGTGTCATTGAGAGAGGACCTAGAGGCCTTAGCAGAAGAAGCAGCTAACGGTACACTGTGTTTTTTAGAATCTGCAGGAAGGCCAGTTGGAGCAGCGGTCGCCTGAGAAGGTCGACTCACGTTCCTGCGAGGCAATTTCACCTTCTGATAGTCAGAGTCCGGGTCAGAATCTGTATCGCCATCAACTTCTTGGAGAAAGGACCTAGAGGCCTTAGCAGCAGAAGCAGCCGATGCAGGAACCACGGGATCCAGAGAACCTTTAGGCTCAACAGATACGACTTGATTTTCAGGAGCTGAGTCAGGCTCGCTGGAAGGAACTGATGTTAGACCAGGCGGTGGACGGTGGTTGAGACGAGTCACCTTAAGCTTCCGATGCGCTGAGTCTGGTAGCTTCTGTTGCGAAATAGCTGCTGCACTCACTTTCTCGGACATGACTAGAGAAACAGCGAGGTTAGTCAGACGAACTGGAAAAAGCTGCACGGCAGGATGAGGAATCTTAAACTCTCTGACGACACGTGGAGAGCAACCTAAAAGCCATGAGCTGCAACAAGAAGAACCGTAAGGCTAAGAGCTTTCGTAACGAGTCAGCTATAACGCTTTAACTGCAGCTCCAGGAAGGTGGATACAGTAGGAATGCAGTGCTGGCAGACATGCAGAGTGGCTGAATCACTCAAACGAAATGGAGAGTTCAATGGAGGCAAGCCTGAAAATGGCCACGAAACAGCAGAATTGCTGACTGAAAAGCACACTGGAAAATGAACCAGACAATGGGATGTGTGGGATCAGGGAGAGCAGAACCTGAGCAGTGGTCAGGAGGACCTCGAGTTCATCACAAATTCTGTGGGATGCTCACTGAAAAGTGACTTTACGGAGGGAAGCATGCGTTACAGTCGTCTGACACGTGACAGATTCCGTTCAGAGTCTAAGTTTGGCGCGAAGCTGGAGTCAGTCCGTCAGATTTGGGCTTCCTGGCAAACCTGGCGAATTTCATCGAAAACCTCCTGCGAAAATCACATTTCGCTCAAACCCTCCTTTTCCCCATCCCCCCTCACCCCCCCTTGTCTCCCCACTCTGGTTCGCCCCCCACTTCCCCCCTCATTCCCCCTCCCTCCCCCTCCTTCCTCTCACCTCTTTTCCGCCCCCACAAATCAGAAAATGTCTCGCTGACAGTTCTCACCCTCTGCACATGCCAGATTCCTATCCTGATTCCCGCTCACTCTGCTTATTCTGATCACTGGATTTCATCTGTTCATGGCCCGTCCTATATTATTTTCCTGACGAGTCGGGTTGGCTGAGTGAGCACTAGCTCGGCGCGGACCATCCAGCATTTCATCGTTCAGTCGTCACAACGTTGAGATGGCTCGACCAAACCAGCGGGGATCGGCCATTTTGGAACAAAAGACGCTTCCATCGACGTACGGCATCCGAGCGCTGTCTAGCTTTCCAGCAGGCCAAGGCAACCTAGATTTAGCTCCTTGCAGAGGTGAATTTCAGGGGGGGACTACAGAGGAGGCGTATTCCAGAATAGATCCTCCAGTGACGTGGTCACAACGCGAGCGGGGAAGTGGTGAATGTCGTGCAAATCGTAGACGGAGAGGAGTGAAAGCTGTCCGTTTGATCACGAATTACCAGGAAAGCCACAGAATCGCCGGTTGCCTCAACGGACCACCAGGCATAGCTCAGCTCGTATCAGCCGTCAATCGTGACCCAGCATCGTCCCCCCTTACCTTCATCCCTCCTTCACCTGCTTCTGAGGACGTTCCCTCGCGTAATAATGCATCTGCAGCACCTCCTGCTGCTGAAGTGAGGGTTCTGAAGCGGTCTGGGGGGGTTCGAGGCAATGCAGGGCGTGTGGAGTTGAAATGGTGGGAGAATTTCATGGCAGGAGCGTCGGCGTCGCTGCTTTCGAAGACCATTCTGCAGCCGTTTGACACCACGCGCACCATCCTGCAAGTGAGGAGGTGGGGTATGGAATGTATAGAGCGGGGAAATGTAATCCGGCATGGGAAAGGGTGTGGAAATAGAGTGAGAAATGTGGAAGGTGGAGGTGGAAGTTGAATGCTTCACAGCTTGCATGTATCCCCTATCAGGATGGGAAAGGGCTCACAAGTCTTGTATTGTGTCTGGCCCACTCTCCCAACAGGCCTCCAAGAAGGTTCGTGGAAACTACAACAATCTGTGGGAGTGTGCCACGGGAATTGTACGCACCAAGGGTTTCCCCGCTCTGTACGCTGGATTGATGGTGTCAATTGCAGTCTCCGCCCCATCCTCCGCCATCTTCCTCACAGCCTATGAGCAGGCCAAGCGCGCAGTTGAAACCACCATCAACACCCTCACAGGCTTCCGTTCGTTCGAGACGCGAGAGCACAGTAGGGAACATACAGTGGGCAGAGAATCACTGGCAGGAAGAGATGTTGGCTCTGGAAAGTGGGATGTTGATGGTTGGTGGACTGAGGAGAAACGAGCACAGGTGCGATCGCTGCTCCTGCCTGCAGCCCCAGCCCTGGCAGCGGTGGCGGGCAATGTGGTGTCCAGCATCGTGCGGGTGCCGCCTGAGGTGGTGAAGCAGCGCGTGCAGGCAGGGCAGTTCAGAGGGTTCCTTGCTGCCGTCACCAGTATGTGGAGGGCGGAAGGGCTGCTTGGATTCTACACTGGATATTCTACCATGGTAGGTGGACGATTCTTGAGTCCAATAAGGTGTGGGTTAGTGGATGGGTGGATAGGTTGATGCACTGGTGCTTTCTGAGGTGGTGAGGATGCAACACGTGTAGACATGGCAGTTCAACAGGTTTCCTTATCGAACCTTCAAACACCCAGCTTTCCCTGTATGTCACACGTGCCCATGGTTGCAGGTGGCTAGGGACATTCCCTATGCAGCCATACAGTTCACCACCTTTGAGACTCTCAAGCGCAGGCGAGAGAGGGTGCTTGCAGCACGTGCTCTGCCCAACCCAGCTAGCTTTGCAGGTTTGGCAGGCTCAGGAGGACATGGGAGCAAGTCTGTAGCAGCTCGCCAATTGTCACATGGGGAACTGCTTCTCAGCAACATGTGGATTGGAGCTGTGAGTGCCAGCTTTTTAAGTTGATTGATGGTTGTCAGAACCTTTTGCTGGCCATGCTCATAGTGAGAACGAGTGATTTCAAAGAGTCTGGCTTGTATTTCGTTTACATTTGCAGATGGCTGGTGCTATGGCGACCATATTCACGTCCCCCTTAGATGTTTTGAAGACCCGAGTTATGACTCAGGAGGCTTCTCCTGGTCAAGCGTACCTGGGCACAAGACAGATGCTTGCAAAAGTATGGGCTGAAGAGGTAAGGTTTTCAAAGTTTGCATACTTGTCCCCCCTGGCTTCTTCTTGTTTAATGACGCACTTGTCATTATTTTTGTGTGCATTGGCAGGGGATTGTGGCCTTTGGCCGAGGAATGGCACCTAGATTGCTTTACAAGGTAAGCATATGCAATGCGTGCAAGAACTACAATGGTGTACATTTAGCTATGCTAACGTGGATGCCCTTCTTTGCAGGTTCCATCCTCTGCTGTTTTCCTTGTTTGCTATGAAGCAATGCGACGTATTATGTATACTACACGATACGCAACAGCCAGGCGAGATGAGTAAGACGTAGAGGTGGCAATTTTGTATGTTGAATAGAATGTTAAGGTTTTTGGATACTTGACGTTGTAACAATATAACGTTTTATATAATTATCCTGCCCTGTAAGGAATGAATGTGAAACCTCATGGCGAGTACGGCTTGTACCCCTTATCATTCTGCTTCTCCGTGAGCTATGCAGACGAGGAGCAGGCATTACCTTCTGCCGTCTAGCTTTGCGCGGTTCCTGTGTTTTGATTTTCCCTGCCTAGGGATTTTCTTCTACTAGACCATGGCGGCAGTCAGTGAGACTGGTCCAGACTTTCCTCTTGATGGCTTCTCTTTCAGATCCGCTTCGGGTGAGTGAATTCCAGTTTGCTTCAGCAGCCGTGCACTGCTGGTATAGCTTGTGTAAGAAACCTGTGGAATCTGTCAGGTGCTGCTGTTTCTGCTCCATCGAGAGCAAGCCTGGACCGCATACGGGCTCTGTTTGAAGAAACTCCCGTGTCACCTCTTTCGTTGCCTGCGCATTGGCAAGACTTTCTCGAACGTCCAGCACGAACCATAGTAATGTCCTCAAGCATTTATAGTCAATGTTACTTACGCATTCTTGACAAAGACTCGCTCTCTCAGGTGCATGGCCAAGACATTTCTCCTGGGATGGCTATTTTCAGTGATAATAACCCTCGTTCTGATCCTAGACAAGTCGAGGAATAACGCTGAACTGCATGTTTCCAAATAGCGTTTTAATGGAATAAGTTTATTCTCGAATATTTTCACGAAGAATCTTCACCAGTTCCGTTTACCCCCTAAGTCTTTATCGTAATTCGTCTAGTATTTCTCCGAAGACATTCATTCGGATGTTCAGCCAGAATGGTTGACAAGAATGTGGCACATCATGCAGCTGGTCCCGTTCACCTTTATCCTCTCATCTTTGGCAGATACCGCAGGTCGACTCCTTCCAGGACTTTCTGATGACATTGCCATGATGTGCATGGCAATGGTCCCCAGGGGCTTCTGGGGTGTCATGGAATGTGTATCAAAAAGCTGGAGAGGCGCACTCAGCTCGAAAGAAATCTTCACGTAAGTGAGCGTGCAGATTCCAGTGTGAGGGTTGGTTGCATCTTCCATGCTGAAAGTGATCGGTGGTTGCATCGCTCCACGTTAATTCTTCTTGACCACATTTTGTCTAGCCTTTTTTTTTTTCTTTTTTTTTTGCATTGGCTGATCTTCGCGTTTCACCGTGCACTGCTGCAGACTCAGAAAACTCATCAAAAGAACAGAAAGCTGGCTATATGTCCTAGCTCGTGGTGCAGGACCCACCCTTCAAGCCTACTCCCCAGGTTACTATCAATTTGCAATGTTTTTCCGAGAGCAATGTCTTTGGCCTTCCTGACACTGATTCTGGTTGCATCATCGTATGCAGTGCTTGATCGGTGGTTCGAATTTCCTTGGAAAGCTAACCTTGCACCAGGCAGCTTGGTAGGAGTGGGTGAGCATCTATTAGCCATTGGTGGCCGAGCATCTGACCGCATCAATCCAAGTACTGGAGAGCCTGAGTACCCTGACTACAGTACACAGGCAAGGACACTTGACCAGCGCGCCAATGCTGCTTATAGTCAAAATCGGTTTCCTTGGCCTGCTGTTATGGTGATCGTGTATTCATTCTGGTGTCTTATAATGTATGTCACTGTGTTTCAGGTGAGGCTCTTCAATGCAAGGACATTGGCATGGACTGATGGTCCACCACTGCCACAAGCCTTCCCATGCCTATGCTCCTGGAGTGATGGCAACAGGGCTTTCATTGGGGCCCTAACTCCACCAGGCAATTTTCATTGCCTGTCTTTCGAGGTCCCTACTGAAGATTTGGAAGAGGCAACTGCGGCGAGTCTTGATGGGGACTGCTTATTTTCGCCCTCTATTGATCATTCAAGCAGGACAGCCCTATTGAGAAATCAGGAGAGTGCTTATAACCCGAGAAGCCCTGTGCTTTGCAACTGGAGGACAGTAGCAGAAGGTCCAGTTTACATGCGTGAAGGGGAAGGGCGACAAGCAAACAATCTTGCAAGGTGACGTAACCTGGGTTCTTCTTATTGCAAGTGATGCCAGCATTGCTGTTCTTACAGAGTTTGGCTTTTGTTTTTGCAGTGCTCAACTGACTTCCTTCACGATGAGTGGCAAGCAGCAAGTGGCAATCTACAATGACTCCACTTCTCCATCTGTCATCTTCGAAATCGACCCAGAGAAAGGAACGTGGGTCAGGACTGAGGCACACATATTCCAACAGTCAATGGGTGTCTGCTTTGCAGCTCAGGTTGTTGGATGGACAGGTTCAGATTGCGACTCCCTTTCACGTGCTCTACTCGAGAGCATAGAGGAGAATACTATGGACCATCCAGCACTGCGGTCCAAAGGCTTCGCATTTCTGGATGATAAGCTGGTGGCAGTTGGTGGAGTGCGATACAAGATTCGTTCACTTCAAGTGAGTGAACTACGTGACTTCACGGTTTGGAACCAAGAGGCAAGAGGATGGGTACCCGGTCCTCCACTAGTAAGTGGAGGTGGAACTATTATGGCCATAGCTGTATTGAGCATATAATTGGTTGGTTGGTAGTTTATGTCCTATCATTGTATCTTCATTGATTATTGAGCCAACACTCTTTGTTGGAAAGTAGAGTAGAAGTATCACGCATGACTACGCCCTGTATGTCCCATCTGTTATGTAATTTCGTAATTTTGGCTCCGTTCTGACAACGAACGAGCTCGGCAAAAACTGCCCTCAGACCCTTGGAAAAGCATTCATCAACGGGCGGCCTCCTTACAGTATGATCCAGAATCTTAGTGGTCACTGCTTTAGGGCTCCTTGCGCCTGCTAGTCGGATCATCTGAGTCCTCGCCATGATCTATACGACCATTGACTCGTTTTATCTGACGAAGGACCAGATCGATGACTCGCCGTCGCGCAAGGATGGAGTGGACAGGGAGACGGAGTATGTCCTCCGTGTCTATGGCTGCGAGCTTATTCAAGAAGCCGGAATCCTTTTAAAATTGTAAGCTTGCTTACTTGACGCCGCTTATTAGTGTGCTTCCGTTGTTCTTGCGTTCTTCCCTGACTTATGAAAGGATTCGTTCGCAGGCCTCAGGCTGTAATGGCCACGGGGCAAGTCCTCCTTCATCGATTTTATTGCAAGAAATCGCTGACGAGGTTCAATGTTAAGGTGGGGATTGCTCGCTCTACTCTTACATACTTCCTTTGCAGCTAGTTGTAATGGTAACCCTATCCACTGTTCCGCGTCGGACTTTGTTACTGAAACGACTCTCATCCCGCTGGACCGGAAAATGTTGCAGGGTGTTGCGGCGAGTTGCGTCTGGCTTGCATCTAAGCTTGAGGAGAATCCTCGGCGGATTCGCGACGTGCTCAACGTGTTTCACAGGATTAATTTAAGGCGTGATAGCCTCCCGTTACCTCCCCTTGAGCAGTTCTCAAAGGTGCGTCGCTATTTAACATACCCCCCTTCCGCATGTCGCTGCGTCCCCTTCCCCCCTTCCGCGTTTCTCTCGCTCTCTTGCTCCCCCCAACCCCACGTTTCTCTCAACCACTCTTCCAGCCCCCTTGCCTCTAATCCGCTTGCCAAAGGAGCTGTAGAACCAACTGTTTGTTCCTAGATTGGTTGAACAGCACTTACTTGCGTTTGCAGAACTATGAGGACTTGCGTACGGAGCTGATTCGAACGGAACGGCACATACTGAAGGAAATGGGCTTTATTTGCCATGTGGAGCATCCCCACAAGTTCATTTTCAACTACCTGAGACAGCTCGATGTGCTTGATGATGCGGTCAAGCACGAGGCCTGGAACCTCGCCAATGACAGGTGCACATCGATTTCATCATGATGAAAACGCCAAACAGTGTGCACCCACACTATTTTTTTGACCAACTGTTTTTATCCGTGCAGCTTGCGGACGGTCCTGTGTGTGCGATTTAAGAGCGAAGTTGTTGCATGCGGGGTGATCTACGCAGCAACCAGGCGAGCTCGCATCCCGCTCCCAGAGAACCCCCCCTGGTGGCTGGCCTTTGACGCCTCAAAGGAGGGGATTGACGAGGTCTGTAGAGCGCTGGCGGATCTGTACAGGAGGCCCAAGGCTCAGTACATCGAGGTTGGCAAAGGCAAGGATGCCAAGCCGTTTGTGCTCACAACTAGAGGCTGGGAGCCACCTCCTGATCCTCAGGTAAAGCCACAATGCATCTTGCCCTCTTTTCCCCCCTTTATCCCTCTCTGCGTTTCTCACACTCACACTCCCTCCCCTGTCCCGATTGCCCTCTGTCAATACCCTTTTCCGCTTTGTTTATGTCCTGTTCTCATGCGTGCATTTGCGTTTCTTTTTCATCCAGGAGCTGCCCGGGGTTTTGAAGCACGCAGCACCCGCATCTGCTCCCACTCCACCACCTGTGGATTCAGCGCCACCTCTACCAGAGGCTGAAGCTGCTGCTCCAGCTCCTGCTGTCAACGAACCTGCTGTAGCTCTTGCTGAATCCAAGTCTTCGGCCCCTTCAAAAGCAAGAGCTGCTTCTGCAGATGATCCTAGCAATGATCCAGAAACAAAGCCTGTTGATTCAGCAGCAGAGGTGGGCAAGAAGGCTTCACTGGTGAGAGAAGCCTCTCCAAGGAAAGCGGCCAAACGATCATCTAGCCCTGCAGACGAGCTTGGCGTGCCGACTCAGCCTGCTAAGCGAAGGAGAGACATGGAAGGTGGTGGACTTGCAGAGCGGTCAGAAAAGGATGAGTCGGAGTCGGACGAAGAGAAGATGGTTGCGAGCAAGAGGGACAAGGAGCTGGCACTGAAAGAGATGAAGCTGAGGGAGCAGCTGAAGCGAGACCTGGAGAAGAAGAAGGGAGGGCAGAAGATGGGGTATGGGAAGGGGGGTTTGGATGTGAAGGACAGGGAGAGGCAGCAGGATGTGGAGGGTGGGAGGGAGAGAGAGAGGGAGAGGGAACGAGAGCGGGAGTGGGCTCGTGAGCGTGAGAGGGAGCGGGAGCGGAGGGAGCGAGAGCGTGCCAATCGGGATGTTGAGCGTGAGAGGGACAGGAAGGATGGAGACAGGGACAAGCGAGAGGGGGACAAGGACGATCGAGTTGGTGATGGGAGCCGCAGGGAGGGGGATCGCAGGGAGCGTGACAGGGATGGGGACAAGGACAGGGATGGCGATCGCGACCGTGAGGTAGAGCGTGATCGGCCGTTTCGAGACGACGGCCGCCGAAACCGCGAACCATATGGTGAGTCAAGCATGTGGTGAGTGAAAAAAGTGGTCAGTGCATTGTGCAGTGAGTGCATTGTGGAGTGATTCCATTGTGTGGTGAGTGCATTGTCTGGTGAGTGCATTGTGGTCATTGTGCGAGCCTGGGAATGAGTGCAGTCGCCTTTCGAATTGCAAGCACAAGTGATTGCCGACTTTCGCATTTCGATACGTCTGGCAATAGCGGCATGGGGTTGCCTTGCCTTGCTCCTGCAGGTGTCAGTGGTCGTGGCAGTGGTCGCGGTCGCCACCCCATTGCTCGAGGTAAATGCTACTGTGTTGTCCTGCTTGGTTCTTTGCCTGATTTGCATTGCGAAATGCACACTAACCTTTTGCTGGTTTTTTGGGTTGCAGAGAGGGAGCGGGATTTTGCAGCATCAAAGGACAAGCACCGTCGTCGGTAACCACAGGCGTTTGTACTTTGCCAGGTGGCATGTGGTTGGTTTTGCCAAGCTTGTCTTCCCTTGTTGCCAAAACTTTGTGGCATTTGAGGTATGCTGGACTTTTCTTGCAAGGTCCCATCCTGGGCACTGATGCAGCCAGGGCTGACGTTTCAAAAAAAAGCACCCTGAGCTGTCGAATGTGGAAAAAAATTTACCCAGAGGGCCTAGTGTTGGAATTTTGACTTCCCTGATTTCTCAGTGTTCTGGAACTTACAACCCTGAAACCTCCAGGGTTGGCTAGCAGCAATCAGGGTTGAATTGCACTTGGAAAAATCAACTAGAAATGTCCAGCTACTAGTTAAGTAAAAGCACCACTACGCCACGCCAGTCTACAAGTCCTCCATGTAGTCTAGACTTCACAATATTCCACGACACTAGCTACACTTGACTAAAATTCTGGGCCATCCATGTTCACTTCGTCTTCTGCCTCGTCATCGGACAGAAAGGGGTTGTCTTCCACTTCAGGAGGAGCCTCTCCCCCCACTCCCCCCTCCCCCTCTCCCTCATCCTCTGCCCAATCCCCCATGTAGTCGGGGACTGCCTCCTCCACCCTCACTTCTGCCCCCTCAATCGCCTTCGCCTTACGCTTCCTCTCCGCTGCGGCATACAGAACAGACTTAGCAGGGCGCCTCAGCGTCTCGCGCCAACACCCAAGGGCCTCGTCCCAGTCAGTCTCGTACTGCAACAGGGAAATGACCATCAGCTCGCTGAGGCGCGCATTGCACAACGCGCCCCGCACCCATGACTTGATGACGTTCTGCCGCGAGAAGCCTCGTTCACACTCCACCGTGCTAAGCGGCAGGACAGCGCACGCCTGCCACAAGCGCATGAGGTGCGGCCAGCGCCTGCCAAAAGGGTTGGGGGAACAGAGTATAAGGAAAAAGACCAGTGCATTAGCGATGCTAGTCAACAATCGATAAACAACAACATTAAAAGGGAAGAATAAAACCGCCCAAAAAAAATGCAACAATCGTCCTTCGAGCAGCACTCTCTCACAAGGTCGACTCCGTCGAGCCGAGGTATTTCGTCAGGCCTTGATGGAATCCCTCGTCGGCATGGTGGCTCAGCATCAGTGGCGCCCACGTGACCAGCTCCTTCTGCGCAGCTTGCAAGGAAAAGCCTGCCAGCCTGTTGTCGAACAAGGCACTGCAGCCATGTAGGTACTCCTTCAGCTTCTCTCTCTGCTGCTTCATCCGGGGCCACTTCGACACGCGGAAGAGCTTCGTCGGGCCGAGATTGTTCAGGTCCAGCATCCTCGTCTTCAGGAAGCTTATCGTGTCCTTCGCGAACTGCGCGCAGAGCCGCTCGCAATCGGTGTACTTGCTGTGGAAGGCATGCCCGTCGATCTGCTTCTCGTGCATGGTGTAGGTGTGCGTGACTGGGTTGCCGTCCTTGTCGATGCCCCGCACCTTTACGTGTTTGCCCCCTCCGCGCCCGTAGACCGCCAAGAAAGCCGAAAGCCACGTGCCTTCAACACCCCCACCGAACACCTCTCCGCACTCCAAGTAGCGGTGGCGGAGGTCCCCTGTCGCCTCGTCGATGTCCTTTGTCACTTCGGTGACATCGACCTGATGGAAGTGTCAGACAAGGGAGTGGAGTCAGAGGGTGATTCCAAACGTGGATGCATGGGACAAAAACTACAACAGCCACAGTGGTAGAAGCTCACCTCCCTCTTCTGGAATTTGAGGTTGAGCTCATTCATCACTCCGAGCACGTCCGCCAGGAAAAAAAGACAGAACTGGAACTTGTAACAGATGACGACCTCATACAGCTCATGCCCGTACTCATAAAAGAGAATGATAGTGGTGCCAAGGACCTTACAGAGGCGCCTCACAGACTCACCCCTTGAAAGCCAGCGCACGGTGTAAATTCCTTGCACTTCAAGGTTGGTGTTGTGTATTGCCCGCTGCAGGTATTTGAAGCGTTGACTCCAGACACATGAACGTCCCAGAAGATCGGCCAAAGTCCGAATCACAAGGTCGACCATGTCGAAGTCTGGATAAGCAGTGGCCGCGTCCTTCACCGCCAAGGCTTCCCTGCATGGTGCACACGAAAGAATTTTAGACAAGCAGTTGTAGGAACCATAAGCGACTGAAATGACGCTAGGTTTAACCTGTGGGCGATGCAGTGCGACGAGACGAGGTGGAGGATGTGCTCGCGAAGTCGGGCGACGAGACCATTGTCTCGGCCGACCATGACAGAGGCGCCGTTGCCGGTGATTCGGGAGAGGTCGATGCCACTTGCTCGCAAGTGAGCCAGAAGAACGGCGAGGAGAGACGCGGCATCGCACTTTTCGACGGTCAAGAGAGCAAAAAACTCTGTGACAACACGATGCGCACGCAAGAAGGTAAGATAAACAATAAGATGTTTGCCGCGAGTACGGTCAGTGCTCTCGTCGCAGCTGATGCCGAGGTAGGGTGAGGCGAGAATGTAGTGCATTTGTCGGCGATGCAGGTAAGTTGCCAGGCTGCTGACGAGCTGACAGAAGCCATACCTGTAGTACTAGAAGTGACAACAAGGTGTTGGTTAGACATCTTTTTAAAATGAAGGACATGGTGTACTTCGAATAAGTGCATTACCGTGTCAGGTAGACTCCGTAAGACTGCAGCGGAATGTCCGGTGTCTCCTGCTCGGCCATGAAGCGGAGTAGCCTCGGGTACATGCTGATGGGTGCATCACACTTGCACAAGAAGTCGACGCAGCGTAGGAGCCTCATGACGCGCTTCCCCTCGATGTCAATCCGCGCGTAATTCTCCATTTGCCTCTGGGTGATCTCTTCGGCGATGTCTTCGGCGATCTCCATCTGACGCTTGACTGCTACTTCGTGGGATGTCGTGTGTTCGTGGAACCGCATCGCTTGCGTCTGCAGGTCACGTGCCCCGTCGCGGCTGTTGGAGTACGGTGTTGTCTCTTTGCCGAAAGCCTTGCACACACTGCACTTCAAAGCAGGGTAACCGTCTTTCGTTTTCGTTAGCAGAAGCCAAGGGAAAAATGGAAGCCAGCTGGTCTTATACTTGTGCTCAGCCATGAGATACTTCTGCTCGATGAGTTCCTTCTTTGAGAGATTCGGCGGCTCGGGTTCTGGAATACCAAGGGCCTGAGGTTCAGGCGACGTGCGAGGCGGTGACCGTCGATGTAGCTTCCCGCCGAGGACTATCGTGCTCTGGGTGTACTTCCCGACGCGTGCTTTCTTCCCAGATGAAATCGTCGACGCACACTCGACGGTGTAACGCACGGTCGTGGCTGTCTCGCAGTCTGGAACCAAAGGGCCCCGGCTAGATGAAGCGACAGCGGGCGGAGGTACATAGGGAGCGGCGGGAGTAGATACGGGTTGTGATGGTGTAACGACTGCGGTGGGAGACCGCAAGATGTCTAGAGAGGATCTACGGACCTCCACGGGGGGGTCCCTACCTAGTCCAGAACCATCATCGGCAGTGGGAGACTCACCAGAGTCTCCTACATCCGCCATGGCTAGAAGCGGCGGATATGATGGAAATGAGAAATCGGCGCGACGAAACTAAAGGAGACAGAAAACTGGAGCATCTCATAGCTGTGACGTGAAAAAAAGAAGAAAACTGGGTTGGAGGAGGAGCTGGTGAAGAAGACGGGAAGAGGACCAAGAGGCATCATCTTTCGATTTTGATGGATGGTGCATAAACCATCCAGGTTCCCGTATCGCCATGGCGATACCGTTAACGGCGAGACGCACCTGCGCTGGCATCGTCTGCACAGAGATGATTGGCGTGGTGATGTCATACATAGGCTGACATTGCCGCGCTCATCATATTCTGTCATCGTCTGCTGCGTGCTGAGTCACGAATGCCAGTTGACGGTTGCAAATGTTGCTGTAATGGCAACATACAGCGTGTACACGGCGGGAATCTTGTCGAGTGCAGATTCCCCACGTGACGCATGCTGGGCGTGTTCAATGGACTGGGCCCCGTCACGCGTAAGGGGGCCATTTCGAGGAAACTCAGGGTCCGCATGGATGTCGCATTCAGGGTTCGTACGCGTTACTCCCTGAAAACTCAGTGTTGGGATAACGCTAACCCTGAAATTTTAAGTGTTCACAGACATATAACCCTGAAGAGGTTAGGGTTCAAAAAAACCCAACCCTGAAAATTAAGGGTTGGCCAAAAAAATACCTTGTGAAATCAGGGAATCAGGATAAAATACCCTGATAACGATAGGCCTGGATGCAGCATGTTTGTTTGCTTCATGAGAAGCTGGAAGGCGCCTCTGGCTGTGCAGGTTCAGGGGCAAGCTTGTCTACACAGACATTACGATTGCTGTGCATTCTTATTATGCAGTGATAGCTTGCTCCAAGTCCCTTGATACGCCTGCTTGCAAGTGCAGCATAATTTCCAAAAGATTGCTCATGTTAGATTCAGGCCTTCTGTGGCTACACCAGTCTCCCCTAGAGAAAGGCACAACACAGCGGTCTTAGGTTCAGACATCTCACAAACTCGGTATAAGAGGCATTTGTCTCATGCAAACGCCCTCACAATGCTTTGCCTGCCTTAGGGGCTTTGTGCATGCCCTTGCCCCCCGACATATACCACTCCTTTATGGGTTGATCCTGATGCTGCTCCTCCCACGGGAAGAATGCCACCGCGGACCTTCAAATCTCAACTACATAAACAATGCTAGAAGTTGGCTAAGAAAAGTTGCTAATATGTATGATCATTTTACAATTTGCTGTTTTTTTTTGTTGTAGCAAATTTTCTGGGATGCCGCTGTGAAAGTATCAGGTAGACAAGGAGGGCAGTCTTTGGAAGATTCTTTTGTTGAGGGATGTGGCTTGGCTGCACCTCATTGGTCCGCCTCTTTGGTCAGCACGTGCGCCATGTCAGAGTTTCGGATAATCACGTGGAAACCAGGATTGACCGCAAAGCTCGATCTGCTTTTTGCTGGAAAAGAGCATTGTCGTCCACGGGTTCGAGATCCACAACTTTCCACGCCAGCAGCCAGTTTCACAGTCCATTCAGCTTCCCCAACCACTCCCCGTAAGGTTGCGGAAATTTTCATGTCGAATTTTAAGGGCAGTTCAAATAGTGATCTCCACTCTACTCGCTGTATACACAACGTCCAGATCCAAAAAAGCCCGTGCTTCACAGAGACCCCTAAGGTCTGGACGTTGGGTAGACAGGGAGGCTTGTTGTCATTCTTCAGCTCACCTGCCCGATGGTAAGCTCAACTTACCGCGACGAAGCCCACCGATTCCGAAGATACTGTATGTTGCTCG